GGAATCTCCCCCCGCCTCCAACCCCGCGTGTCAGGTCAAGAGAGAGGCGTGTACACCTGGTGAGGATCCTTCCTTTTTCGCTGTTGACATCCCGCGCGTGGTCAATGCATTCGATGAAAAATGTTCAAGTTGTCATAGCACTGAGATGGGGTTGACGAAAAGCTGCACATCCTTTAACAGGAAATGAGGAGACGATCCATTCGTAACCTTTCCCAATTCTCATATTTTTACACGATTCTCCTAAGGTGCTGCTGTTTGAATGAAGCGCCTTTCCACTGAATACCGTTTCCATCAATGACAAAATGAACAATCTGAGCTGCTAATTGAGTTTTATCAGTGGTGAAATTCAGCCGTAAATCGCATTTTCTTTAGCCGCGTCTTCATCAGCTGTTGATTGAATGTATTACTTCACACGAGCACCTCGGGTAATCTGATATCCTTTTCCCTGGGAATTTAGATCACGAAAAAGATATATGGTTAGGTTTGTTTATTTAACGAAGCAGTTAGACCACAGCTCTCACGTTCTGCACCCCAAAGCACAGCTCCGAGTATCATATTCAAGGTAAGGTAGTGGTATGGGTTAGTTGACTATTACCGAAATTTTTCGCGATTCTTTCGCTCTTAAATCTCTGGTTCAGAACTTGATCAAACTTTTGCTTTTTTAAGTGCATGGCGTTTAGCATTCGCTGCGAACGTCTGATGAACAAATGTCTTTGTCGAATCTTTAATATGAAGCACTTAAAGCTGTTAACCACACTTGTTTTACTTAACGGATAATAAGAAACGTTAGGAAATTATCCATCGATAAAGACGGAATTTTCTCAGTTGTAATTGTCTTGCAATAATCCTAAAGAAAACTAATGCTTTTACACCTTAGTCTTTTGAAGACAACGTAATCCATAAGTCACGTACATATTTTGAACTTGATTGTTTTACGTGTATAAACAAGTGTAATGTTTCTTCCAAGTTAGTTAAACTTCCATGATATAAGGCTCTTCTAAATGACCTCAAATTGTCATTGGGTTTTGAAATTGGAAGAAATCTTAACCAAACAGTTGTTGATCATCATACAAGGGACATAACGAAAAGTTGGGTATTGCAGACGTTGGGTTCTAGAAGTGTTAGACGTTTATTTCCCATTGTTATGAAAACTGTTGCCCCTTACTGCTCCAATGCTCTCTTCAAAAGGGTAAACAGGAAACTTCCATGGGCTGTAATATAGCTTACGTAAGACCGTTTGTGCAGTTTACCCGTGCAACCTATTTTAGAAAATATCTTTAAAAAGGCTTAGTTAGTAATCAAGAATTGTTTAGCTTTGAGGGAACCAGGCAGAATGAAAATGAAATGAGCGCAAGTCAAAAGCGTGAAACTTCTGAGCCTTCCGGCCCAAGACACGAGGACAATTCCTGCAAGTTGTAGAATTTCCGCAAATCTGTCTTGGCACGCATCAATACAACTCATATTCGCAGTGGGGAACCGGCTAAAGCTAATGTTGTAGCTTGCAGCGCATTTGTTTTTTTCTAAGCTGTTTTTTTCTTTTTTTGTCATTATTATTTTTTAATGAGCCTCACGTTTAATTTACAGCCGTCGCGTCCGCGGTAAGATTTGAGATTTGAGATCAACGAACCCTGAGTCTAGGGCAGAATTCCTTGTCGATTGAAGGGTTGTTAGTATCCTCCTAGTTAATTCATTACATAACTAATAAGGTCTGTAGACAAAGCGTGTAAAAAGTTAAGACAATCACTTACGTAACAACAAATACCTAACGATTAGATTCACAGAGTTACCGTGAACAAATGTTTTAATCAATGAAAAATTTGATGAGTAATATATCTGACTTAATGCTCCAATTTAATTATGTAAAGATTTGCAAGAATTACTATCATTTAGACACATCGATCAAAAGAAGTGAGACATTTAAAAATATGTCATTTCATGTTAAACATTTTTGCATTTTAGGTTACCTAGCTTTTGGAAGCCAGATCGCAGTAATCGAGTTTACAGCATGTTGAAGTTAATTGTTGATAAATGTCTTCTTATCTTTGGTGTACCTTACATACACTTCGAGAAAGCAATCAGATTGCCGAACTTTTTCAATTATTCACAGCTCCCTTTAATGCAATAGGAAGGCCTTCTTGTGTCTAATGTACGAATGTTACTATCGAATTTAGAGCTGGTTAAATAGCTAGTAAAGCTTTCGTAAATGTGTGCTTTTTTTGTGTGTTTTGCACGAAAGCGCAAATTAACGGACTCAACACGCTAGATATCGAATGTTGAAATACGTTCGTTGACTGTGGAGGCACGAACGCTGTGACTCCCTCCTGATGACAGGGGAATAGTTTGACTCAAATATTTTTTGGCGCCGATCGGAGTCGTTATCTTTGTAATGAAAGATTCGATCGTAGACAAGGATGTGCCACAAACATGACCCAGTCATTTCCAAGGTCTCTGTCAGTTGATGTTTCTTGTTCAAGGTCGCTTTTTTAGACTGCAGAATGAGTTGTTTTTGTTCAACGTGTGAGGTAGTGAATTTTATTTAGCTCTCACTGCTCTGTTCACATCATAAAGGAAATAAATCCGAAATAAAGGCAGGCCATTTTTATAGTTTGTCCTTCAGGAAGTACTCTTAGAAGAGGCGAGTGCTCTTGGTTAGAGGAATGTGTTTAACGAGTCAACTCCTGTGGAGTCGTCACCTAATTTCTGTCTTAAATAGTTACGCTTTCTGTGCTCTCTTTGAATCTAAAGAAGATTGAAGGATTATGACATTGTTTTGCCACAGAATGAACAATTTCAAGCCCTGGAAAGTCCTTCCAAGGTTAAGGTACTTGGAAGGTATTTTCCTTTGACCGGATATTGCGCACTCCTTTGTTGAGAAGAAAACTGGATGGAATTCAATGTCAGCATAAGCAAAAATCAACGAAAACAGAGAAAGTAACTTTGTATTTATTTTAACCAATGATAAGAAAGGAATAGATAACGTATCTGGGGAGTTTTTTTTTTCGTAAATTGTCTCTGTTCTTTGCAAAAAGATGGCGGGATTCGAAACCTATAAGATTTATGTCGCTCGCTCTTGTCTGCGGTCTACCGCTATCCTTTTTGTTTTCAATTCACAAGAAAGTTAACTCGCCTCTATAAGGATTTACTCACATTCCATTCAAATCAGTCTGTAGACCGCATAATTATATGTTTCCAGGATCTCCGGAAATATCAGTAATGCGGGAAAAAAGCCAAAACGTGTCCTGATACGGGATGACAACGAAGACGTACTGTTTTCAGTCATCATTTGCCCCGAAGGTTGCGTCCCACAAAAAAAGGCAAGAGGTTACCTTTAGAACTTAAGACAAAGTCAGGACAAATTAACACGTTTAGTTACACACGATTAATACTGGAACTCGTAGGACGAAAAATTTCGAATTTAAAATTTGAAAACGGTGGTAAACAAAAACGAAACATGATGCAACCATCGATCAAACTGAAGAAAATGACGTTTCCTGATTTCGCGCTAATCAGTTTTTTCGGTCGTGGGAAATTTGCTAGAAGACTGTTTGCGCAATAGCCAAATTCTGATTTAGTCCTCAGATGAATCCGCAATTTCCCACGCCAAGACCATCGATAAGAAGATCCAATTTACATCGTCTTAGAAACAAAGCCAAACTACTAGACTGTTCTTTTATTCTATTATTAATTAATTTATGAAAAAAATTTCAGTCGATACATCGCGATCGGAAATTGTCAATTAGTGCGAACCAGACTTGGAGGACTATGATAAAAATCCTTATTTATTTAATAATTTAAATCTTTAGCTGCATTGGAAAAGAGAGAAAGGAAGCCTACATTTTCAGTCGACCACACATCAGCACACAAACTCGCTTGCTATGCTAAACAACTCGGCTGTTTTTTTTTTTAATAGGATATTTTTTCCCCAGAAATCACTGTTCTTTTTTATTTTCTTAAGCCCATTCTTCAATTTAGGTGCTTCGGAATTTCTGTAAAACAGTCTTCCACGCTACCTTATTTATTTATTTTTTTTACTGGATAATCCCCATAGTTTGAAAATATCCGACAAACTGTTCCAGTTAACACGTACCGAGTTATTCCAAACAATGCAACTTTTTAGCTAAAATCATTGAGTCCATTTAACTTTGAGCGAAACCTCGTTTTACAAACTGGGTCGTTTTCAGGCTGAGAAAGCGGCAAAGAGGTTGTATTGATACAATCATTGAGTTAATTCGAAGGTATGGAATTCTAGTGAGGAAATATGTCCGATAAGATTCAAACTGAAAATTTCTATAAAGACTTTTTAGCTATCATACACTTTTGATATCCCCGGAAAAGTGGACGGTGGACACAGCGAAGCAATCAGTACAGAGAGTACAAAGAACAAATCTTTCCTAAATTCAAAAACATGCATCGGACGTCGTTTTCACAGTTCGTGACGAAATTCTACGCATTTAATTCGTCGAAAGATGTAGAATTGTATGGGCTTATAACCACATGAGTGTTTGTACAGTAGTCTTTATCCTTTAAACACACGCAGTAACACTTCTCGGACTAAGCAGCCGAACTCGGCGTGTGGTATGGATGGGCGACATGAAATACTCTAGAGAACGCCACCGAAATCCTCAAATCCCTTTTTTAGGTATAAAGCACTCGAAAATCCGTTCAAGAATGTCATCTTTGTGGTTGTGAGTTTTTCCGCCTGCTGAAGAATTCAAGACGCAATGAATAGCATTCCAAGAGAAAATTCCACCACTCTTTTATGTAAAAGGCAAACAGGAAAAAAAGTTCATTGGATCAAACCTCCCACTCGACTTTGCGAATCTGTACTGGAAATGCGTTTTACGAGAACTTTCTTCTTGCTGGGCTGTATTGGTCCTGTTTTGCAGCCGGCAGTGCTTACATAATACTTGGAAGTTTCTACTCCTTGGATTAATTATTTCCGTTCAATTTAAATCATCCCGCAAACCACTAACAAAGTCATAGTAAGATTCCCAACAATTAAACGGATTTAAACGAATAGAGCGTATTGTTAGTGGGCTGTTTTGTAGGAAATTATCGCAAAAGTCGTCTCTGCTTAATGCCTAAAACGGATTTGAAAAGTTGTTGACCGGCAGACCTTTAAAAATTAGGGAAGTCGTTTCGCGAAGCACTTACGCTAAGGACACGGAATAGTTTGGAACGCAACTGAAGCCGAGAAGCTGCTGAGGGAGGTTTTTGTCTTGGAAAAAAAATACAACTGGCGTGCTTAATGGATTAACACGCTTGTGATGGTTGTAGTCTTAAGAATGTCGGCAGTTCAGTGGACTGAATAAACTGAGATGTTATAGCTCCAACTGGTTACAAAAACACCAGATATGGTCCTGCCCGTGATGCATCTGGGGCTTGCACATCTGTTTGCTATATTGTTACAAACGGCTTAAATGTACATCCAATTTCATTGCAGCAGCGGATGACTGAAGCCATACCGATAACCTCAAACGATCAACAACTGAACATTGCGGTCAGTAATTGCATTGAAAACAATCGAAAAAGGTGTGAGGCTCGTCGAGTTGGTGTGGTGAACGAATGCTAAAGCTTTAAGGAATTTCATTTGTAGTACATCGCGAATACTTAAATGGCACTCACTGGAGGCTATCTGGCAGACTAAAATTCCACTGAGACTCGCTCTCACTTTCCCACACAGGTTGGAGATCCAAAGACTTCTTCGGCAGCATGCGTTCATTTTCTGTTCAAGTACTTGTGATCCTGACAACGTTTGGAGGACTTTGTTCAGGTGAGGTTAAACGTATTTCATTGACTTCTAATTGAAGTGGAATCACTTCGTTTATTTCTTTGCGCAACATCTCTCTTAAAATGATCTCGAGCATTTCTTGACAGTTGAGCAACAGCAATGTTTTCTAATCGAAAAATTGCGATAAATGTTTCAGTAAGTGTTTAAGCTTCGTTGGAGCTAACAAGGGAATCTTAGTGGTCTTTATACATTTGTTTGACGCATACATAATGACGTGCACAAGACAGTGATAAGTACATACTTACAAAAGAGCAGACAAGGCAGGTATCTGATCACCTTTGATTTCTAAGAGGATCTTTCGTTTATCAAAGAAAGGTTCGTGATGCTAAAAATCCCACGAGAGCTATACGAACCGCCAAACGCTCATTTGCAACGATTCCTAGCGTCTAAACAACATTGTGAAGATAATGCAATTTTACATTCCAAAAAAGACAATGTCGTAATGTCACCACTGCCGTCCTTTGTCTGGACTGAAAGACCGAGAAACAGTGTTGATTTTTTTTTCTTGTATGCAGGACTTATAAAAACATCGTGCTTTTGAAGAATTAACTAGATTCGCACAGAGGAGATTGTTTTTATCATTAAGGCGCAGTTTCAGCGGCGAATTTTCCTGAAATGACATAAGAGCCCCCAAGAGTTTATCCCCTTTTTTTCTTAGATAGACCAGGCAAAGCCTAATTTTTGTGACGACGACTGGACGATAAAATCAACAGACAAGACTCCCCGGCTCTGAAATTGTTTAAATTCACCGATTGCTGATTTTATAAGCTATCCTGTGTTATTAAAATAAGAGTGTTTTACCACTCAGGTGCGCAGTATGTGTCATGACCCTTCCTCCTGAAAAACAAACGTAAAGAAGATAGCCGTGTTTCCAACCACTGCACGGAATTTTTCCCAGAGACACTATCCTTCAGCTCTTATAATCAGCTTAGCCAGAAAGTAATCGATATCACACAGGTCCCGTGGTGGAGCCGGTTGATAACTCGCGCCTTTGGAATGGCGTGGTATAAAGCTAGAGAGAATCGTACTTTGTATTTCTAATTCGAAGTAACACAAACAATTTTGACATTAAACTGAGACATTAAAAGGCTCACGCCCCTACTTCGTTAGTGCATTTAGTACGTTGTTCGTCTTGATCACTGAAATCTTTAAAAAAAAAAAAAGCAACTTTTTTGTTTTCGTGCGGGTGTACGCGTTGGAAAACAACTGAATATTGAAGATTGACAAATATTGGCGAAAGTGACATTCCTCAACATTTAGTTCGTTTAGCTGCCTCATGAGTCGAGACAGAAACATTCTGTACCAATCATTGCAAGATACTTCACTATCATTACCTCTTACTTTGTGTTGGCATTTTCCATCTTTCCGGCGTTTGACAGGAAAACCCAGTACATGTTGTGATGCTTAATTGTCAATCGTTTGATTGCAGTTTTGCGTGGGCTCTGCGCATGAAAATTGATGTGTTAATTTCAAGTTTTGAAGCAAGAATGTCTAAGTCAGTCTCACTAGGAATTTATTCTGTCAGATTGTTTTCATCAAAGCTAAAAATAAGCTGCTGATGTATTTTTAAGTTAAACTGAATGAATATCTCTCGGGTGACGACTTTTCGAAAATTCTGCCAAACTAAGCCACTGTCATCTCCTTCTTTTTTTTTTTTTTTGTTGACACAACTTGAGTCGCTGCTGAAGGTGATGCAAATTAAATGTCCGAATTGACGTTAATCTTATTTAAGTCATGTTTTGGCTTCTGCAAATGTATTGAACAGGCCAAACAGAGGTGGTTTTAATCAATCATATCAATTGTTGCTAAAATTTTAATCGTCAATCTCGGTCCAGGCGTAGGGCAGATTTGTAAACACACCTTCACTATTCGGAATCACAGTTAAAGATGACCCACTTCTAATCAATTTGTTGATGTTTCACTTTGCAGTGATAGCCAAGAGTGTATCACAACGAACAAGCTCAAAAGGTGAACAAAACATTTATCATTTTAACGAGTATTCAGTTATCTTCTTCTCCTTTCTGAGGGGACGCCATTTAAACATTGGGTAAAAATTAAGTTGTTGGTTTTTTTAGTATTATATTGCTAATTTTGTTTTCATCATCAGATGAAGCAAGCTGTGATTTCGAGGGGAACACCCACCCAGCCGACACCACGTTTGTCACGGCCGACTGTTCTGCGCAGTGCTACTGTACGGTAGATGGAGATTTAAGCTGTCTGCCTATTTGCCCTACTCCTGCACCTACTCAATGCCCCCCCGGAAGTGTCCTGAGAGAGGAAGAATACCCAGCTGTTTCAGGAGGTGGCCGTTGTACTTGTAAGAGAAGATTCTGCGCCCTTGAAAAAGGTAACGCCAGTTTCATAGCGGGCGGACGCCTGCGTATGCATGTGAGTGTTGGTTTCAAGAGCTCGCGGGAATGGCAATCCTGTTACCAGCTTTTCACGACGCGAAATCTTTTAATGCACTTCCTGAGTACAAAGCAAGTTGTTTTTCGAGACGATGATTCATCGTGAAATCAACTTTTTTCATTTTCTCACGCTTACGTTTTTTTTTGATCTACTTGCACAACTTATGATAACATGTGCTAGCGATAGTCTTGTACTCGTTCAAAAACTCTTCCCTTTTATTTTTTTTTGTTTGCGTGTTTTTAATGTCCTGCGGTACTCTTTGTTATCAAGCTCACATTATGCGAGGCATAAATGAGTTTTTAATCTCTAAGAGCTATCGCTATATGATACAAAGTAAACTGTCGTAAAGGTGATAACGTTTCAGCGAAAGTCTGGCATAGTAGCTCTTAGCAGAATCCAAACTTGGACACCGCCCTTTTTATCCACTTATGAGCTAAGTAGTCCGGGTCTTAACCAGGTTACAAAACTACAGTTACTGGCTTTGAGACAGAAGATACGTACAGTAATGCAGTCGGTTTTTTTTCGGATATTTTATCTCCAGTTTAATCCTCTTCAAAGTGTCCTTGACTTAAGAAGCCGCAAAGCGAGTGAGTGTGGTAATTCTATCGCCAATTAGAAAGCAGGAAATATTATTTTCGAGAGCCTTTTGGGAGCACGTTTTAAAATCAACGCGTCGCATCACATGAAAACAATAAGTTAGGTTAGGTGTAATGTTTTCTCTCTCGTTCATTTATCTATGTATGGCCAAAACTTGTATATGAGATACATTTTTTAGGCGGAAAAGGCCGCCCAAGTTTTATTCCTTTCCTTTCGTTGATAATTACAACCAACAAACACGGATACATAAGTGCATTTATTGTAACACCGCAACCAGGTTAATTATGACCTGTCAGAAAAATCCTGCGTAAAGCCACAGACAACCGAAAACTACAACGAGTTTAAGGTTAAACTGTTTCGGACATTTACTTAATCGAAAGATTTTATTCGTTTCCTCGCACCAAGAGGAGTGAGAGACAAACAAAAGTTCTGGTTCCCCACGAAGACTTTAACCTCAAGGCATCCCACCGCGCAATCCAAAGGTCTGAGGTATGATTGCACCTGATCGACTCAGTGTTTTTCTTTGTGCCACAATCGAGCAAAAACAATAAACATCGCTCTTCCTTCCGAGCAGAAGTTTCCATCTCTCCATTCTAAAAAATTTTGTTTTGATATGAGTCAATTCAGATCACATGAGATTATATTTCTCGATAGTAATTGGACAAAAATCATCATCTGGGATAGATCTGAGGTTAATTCCCAAAACCAAAGGGCAGGGAGAGAAATTTTGTGTCTCGAGTTAGCGTTACACCGAGAAATATCGATGAGAGATTATTGTTATGGAATCGTCAACCTATTTCTTGTTTTGCCAACCGATGAAATAATGTTGTTTTTAAAACCCTTGTTTTTCAAGGGCATCAAATCTCCCAGGCGACTGATTAACTAGTTTACGAATGATTGCCAGTTAAGGCAGATTATGTCTACAGTACAACATTAGTACGTTTAAGATTTGTCGGAAACAAATACATTTAAGCTGATGTCTATTGCTGCAAAACACATTACTCAATCTTATGTGCGTAATTTCCCATAGGTCATGGAATTAACTTGGTCATAAATCATTATTAGGACATTGAAAAACAATCAGAAACATGACTCTGGCGATTTCATGATATGCAGCCTCATTTCAGCGTTTAATAGGCAAGAGAGAAATTCTGTGATGTCCTCTACAGGTTTCTAACTATTGGAATAAACATTTTTGAGAGTGGTGGGAAAGTAGAGTTTAAAATTTTTTGGCAATATTGCTTAACTTTTTTGAACTTGTAACCTCACCCACTGATTTTTTTCGTGACTTTCTTGAGCATTTTGTTTTTCTCTCTTGTGCCTTCCCGTGATCGACTCCTGTAGCTGGACGCACGCAACGATTTGACCCTCATGAAAAAACAACGTAAAAAGGATTAACAGTGATTTAAGAAATGAGATTACAGAAGGTACTATTACGGTGCGCGTGTGTTTCGGACTTCACGCGATGGCGCTCATTGTTGGGTGGTGGTCTGATAATAGGAGTTGTGAGGGAACCGTAGAATATTGCGATACCCAGAACATTAGGTCTCGCAATGCGAATGTGGCCGTGTTAATGGCGCTTGATCAGTAGAGTAGAACAAAAATTTGCGGTCTATTTTCCTCACCTAGTGTTCTGTAATTCTTTCTTTCTTTTTTTTTTTTTTTTTTTTTTTTTTTTTTTTCAATTCCTTTAAGAAAAAGTTTAGCTTGACAGAAAACGTCCTGATGCGCCTTGGGCATTCGTGTGAAATGGTAAACACGACTAAAAGATAAAAAGATTAACTGGCGGATCAATTGGATATAATGACCTGGCGTTTCGGTGACACCCTTTGTGGCCTCTGGATCACGCTCGCAAAACTGAGTTTTATTACGCAATTTAAAAGAGAATTGACACGAAAAATTATATATTCTTAAACAAGAGAAATAATTAAGAAGAGTCTCTAAAACTGTTCGTTGAGTAGAAGTAAAGACTCCACATTTCTCTATCACGAAACCAAATGGCGAAGCACTTCAGAATCTTTATCGTATTTCTCACAAAAAAGGAAAAAAATTATAATAATAATTAAGCCTTCCGTCGCACAAACTGATAAAAACTAGCTAGCTTTATTAAAATTCCTTACACCAAGCTGCATTCAGCAGGCTCCAAAAAGCTACGCTATGATTCAAATCATAGATCAGACATGGCGCCAAAGGATTTCAAACTCGAGCGGTAAATACACTTAGTTTGCTTGGCCTTGGTAATGACACAACAGTTTTGAGAATAAGATCTATTCAAAAAAAAACATGGATGCACGCCTGTTGCTGCTTATCTTGTCAAGACTGAAGCCAATGTGCTTTACGCAACTACATTGGCATCGAAAGAAGCGGACAGTGTTTTGATAAATCCAATATACTTCCGTGTCTAAACGTTGGTTTCCGTACCCTCGAAAGGCGCGATCGCTGTTAAATAAAAAAAATGCCCAAAAAGCGTATTTCGTTTCGTAGAGGAAATAATGAAACTTATTCTGTTTTCTTGATAAAGTAACTTTATGTTTTGTGTCTAAAGGATTCCGGGGTTGTTTTTTTTGACCTCCTTCCCGTCGTGAGGAAAACTAAAATGGTTAATCCAGCCCTCATCAATCATGTTTTCATACGCCTAAGCCTTGTATTTGTTCTGAATGGCCGTTAAAGACACAGCGACTTTCCATTTAAAGCCGCCGAAGAAAACTTAGGGAGAGAGCTTAATCCTTGAGATTTTGAGGTTAGGCGTGGCTAGTAATGGAATCATGATTGAGTAGAGTCCAACTCGGTCTATAATCATACGAGTGATTAACAAAATCGGACGACCGCGAGGCTAGAGCCGATTTGTTAATTACGAGCATGATTTGTCCTCAAATCGAACCGGTGAGAATCAATCACGTCCGAGAATTGTTGCAGTTTTGATTGCCAGATGTTGCTATTTATCACTTTTCATATCTTTATGCAAGTTGGCGCAAAAAAGATATCTTTCAGTTCGAGTTTTGCTAATAACCTTTATTAATCAACTAATTCTTTGGCGCAAAATGAGGGTAATATAATAATGAAGCACACAGGAAATCCAAAGAGTGTTTGTTTGATCTATAACGTGCATCACATGATATGTCATAATCATATTTTCTATTTCCAGTTCTGTGTTTCAGAAAGGAAAATGGAGAAAAATACAAAGTTGGAGAGACATTTAGCTTGAATAACTGCTCCAAGACATGCAGATGTAATGAAAACGGTCAAATATCATGTGCGCCGACGTGCTCAAAAAATATCTGTCCCAAGGGAACACGGCCCAAAAGGAACGGTGAAATACAACTTGAAAATAACTGTTCGTGCGCCATACAGGAATGTGTCCCAGGTGACTCTATTTTATATGCTAGGGGGGGGGGGGGTTTCTACAGTCCAATGGTTTACATGTGGCCCCTAGAGCGGGTGGCGAGAAAACATAATGCCGCTATTCTTACAGTATGCTTGTACATCTCAGGTTATAAAAAGCAGTCATGATAAAAACTAAGGGTTCTTAAAGGTAGAGCAAGTATACCAGAAATTTGGAATTGTGACTATTGAACCGTCATTGAAAATGTTGATTATTGACAGGCATCTAAAAGTCGGTCATTTTTTAACTGAAACAGGGGAGCAATAAAATCTACCATCCCTCCCCTCATGGCATGCTTGGTCAAAACACGTCACCCCTCCTCGCTTCCCAGAATTTCGCCAAGTTACCCTGACGCTTCGCTGGTATCAAGTACAAATAGACTGTGAGACTAATGTGTTTAGTAAAAGAAAACATTTAAATGATATGAACTGGTCCTAACTCCACATCTTTTAGGCTCAGTGGTTTAGCGTTTGTTTTTGTTGTCATCAGGTTGCCTGAGTCGTCATATAGTTTAGTTTTATATTTGTTTAATCCGTGTACGTCAACTGTAGTATACTTGAATATCGATAAGTTTATAGCGTCCTTATGGTGAGCCCGGCAGTTATCTTAGAAAAGAAACCTGACTATCCATGAATAAAAATATGCTTTCTTTCAGTTCCCAAATCGTTCTGTTACGTCGATGGTCGACGATTTAGGCGCGGTCGCGTTTTCATTACGAAAGACTGCAAGCTCAAGTGCCGCTGCAAGAAGAACGGCAAAACGCGATGTACAAGGTTATGTAAGAAGAAACAAAATAAACAAGAGTGCGGCCCAGATGAAACATTGGAAAATATTAATGAATCGTCTGCTGGGGGAAGATGCTCATGTGAGACAAAGATCTGTATATCGACCTTGGGTAAGTTTGTGTGTCTACTATTGTCTGCGTACGAATGCTGAATTGCTCTACTTTTAAAGCTTACCCACCAATCTCTGAAACATTTGCGCTACGTCTGCTGTCAGATGGGACGCCATGCCTTGCAGATAAAGGACCCGTCAAAATAAGTTCTGTTGTGTTGGCTCTTTAATATTCTAATGTTCCTTCCCACCTCCCCTCGTCCCCGCTCTTTGGCAGTTTATTGGCAGTCACTTATTTTCCATAATTCCCCTTTTACTATACTAGCGACGACTGATCCTCCTCCATTCTCCCTGAAAACCATGCCACCCCCCCCCAAAAATCCCCCCCCCCACTCCAGACGATAAAGGTCCCTCACTAGTAATGCATTCATTAAAAATTCCTCAACGGTGTAATGGTACCTATTCATACTCGGATTGGAGTGACGCACTGTATGCTCTAAATCGCAAAGAGATAAACTCGATTTCTTAAAATTTGTTCTCTTTTAGCAAATGTCTGGGGAAATAAAGTGAGTCATCTTGAAAGCAGGAATACCAGAGGTGAGGCTTGCGACAACAAGGAAATTTACGGTAAAATTAAGGCGGAAAACACAATGTTTTGGTTTTTGGGAAAATTTTACCTTAGAAAATGTTCGTTATTGCTCGAAATGCAGCTGGCTGATGAGTAGGGAATGGGTTTAACAGACTACTTACTTAGACCCTGCTGAATCACCATGGTCACTCAGGGGGGATAGGGGAGGAGGTTTAGGATTTTGAGGGGATCACGTGGATTTCATTGGGATCTGTCGTCACTAACGGAGTATAAAGGGGGGGGGGGACCATACAAGATTAATTGTTAATTAACATCGTCAACTACCCTCATCTCACCCCTCCTCAGGAGACAAACAATAAGCAGTCCCTTCAAAAATTCAAAGCCGATGAAATTTCTTCTAATTCCAAGATTTGTTTGTTTTAATTTCAGATGCATAGTGCCAGCATCATACAAATTGCATTGACTCGATCAAGGGCAAGTGCAATACTATCAATTAAGGACCCTGCAGCGAAGCCAAATTCATTATTTCATGACACTTTTTTCATATGGTATCATACGTACGCCTCTACCCGATATTGGCACCCAAATAAGCATAGCAAGATTTCCTGATATTCCAAAACATTCATATAATCAACTTTAACGACTATGTCTCTGGTGTGACACCTGGTTTATTTACTAAGAGCGTAGGCTGATATGGAGAAAAAATGGAAACGATTTTTCTCAGTTAGAAATAAATTAAGCTTGGTCTTATGCCGGGATATCGAAAGAAAAGGCAATCACTAGCTAGAAGGATAGGAAAGAAATTTTTAGAGTGGCAACAAGTTAGTTTAAAAAAAGGATCAAACTCTTTGGAAAACAGTGAGCGTTTACGGGCTCATTAGACAGATATTCTCATTTTTGCATTGTAGTGTATAATTTAGGAGTCATGATCATATCATCGTTTTCATGATTGAGTAGACGAACGAATTATACGTGATTAGTCTTTTTACGTAACCAAATTAACTAAAAAGTGTCTCTGTGATAGTTGTCACAAGGATAAATCAAAGAAAGTAAAACTGAGGCTTCAAATGGAGAGAAATATTCCTTGGGGTGTGGCGTGCACTTTACCCCACTTAAAGAAATAGTCTTTGGTGCATAAAGCACCCTTCGCTCAAAAAGGTGTGATTTTAATTTTACGAAAGCTGATTAATGTAAAATCTTCGCATATCTTAGGTAACAGTAAGCCGTTTTAGCCGTTTTAGCCGTTTTAGTAACCTGATGACCTCCTTCAGGCAATCTATCTATCCCGTCGATAGATGTTCCCTTTGAGGGAGAAATCATACGAGTTTACTTAGTTTCTTTGGGATCGAAGTATCTCCGCGTTAGTATCCGACCAAAATGAGTAAGCATCCCCAGATGTCGGTCCCGTGTACGGAGGCATCAATGAAGTACCTTTGAAGTGTTTGGAGCTTCACTGATAAAAGCGTTAACTGTTACTTTTTGTTTTTAAATTATTCACTTCTATACATCTCACTGCTATGCATTATTAGGCGCGAAATACACAGAGAGAAGGAAAAACTGAAGCACTTTCATCTGTTATGTGGACAAAATGTTGATGAACAAACGTTTTTCAACTCTTCAATTTAGAACGCTTAAACTTATTAATACGTTACATAACTTAAAGGTGACTGACTGGGTGTCTAGAAAAGACATGCATCAATACTAACATGTACTGTCGTCTAGACTTTGAAACAATATAGGTAAAACTGCTGCAAAGTAGCGCAAGTGGTTGGAATATACTGTTATTATAACTTAAATAAAGGTTCTAATACTCGAGTTTTACATAATTAATTATTGTGAGAATTATTAATTCCTTGAGGCGACAGGAATTTGTGGAAATTTTGTCTAACAAGTAATAGCAGATAAAAAAATGCAACCCCGTGATGTTCAGTTATAACGTACCAAATAGGCCACGCAGTAAGTAAATTAACTTCCTTCCGTCGAAAAATTAATTTTTGTCTCTGAGGAGTTTTCGTTTCTGCGTTTCCAAGAAGAATCCTTTTTTTTCTGACTTCTCGAGTCTGAAACTTTCAAGAGGAAATCTGTGAGACGTGAAGCGACAAAACAAGGTTTGTTATAACCCTGTGACGTGAGTGGTCACTAACTATGGGTCACATCAGGAAAAAGAAAACTTTCCAAGATATGTCTGTTGTCCCCTTCCTTTATAATTAAGGGATTAGACAACATCATACGCTCTAATCGTCGAGTAATCGTTCTTAACGAGAACTTTTTTTACCAACAGGGTTATTATTGACTTTTTGGCTGCCTTGGTAACCGTGTGATGTAATTCGTTAGAATAGATTTTTAAAATTAAAGGTGATTCTATTTTGAAAATCATCGTCAAGTGTTAAGTCTGATTTGCAAATTTATTGTAACGTTACAACATCTCTGAACCTGAGACTTCAATTCCCGTTGCGACTGTTCAAAGTTCTGTCTGTGCTGACTCTGGCTTTTGTTGTTCAGTTTCGAAGGGATCAGTAAGATCAAAGATTAAAGAACAAAAGTTATCTTAATCGTACCACAATGCATACAAGAAACTCTCATTTGCGAGAATATTAATTGTACCACCAATTTTTATAAAAAAAAAAAAGAAAAAGTTTAATTTTTTGAAAACTCGACCTGAAATCTTGGTGCGAACATTTATGCTTATGTATATCTGGAAAACTTTTATTTTCAAAAACCATTACCTTATGGACAGATGACGTCGTAGAAATTCATTCTAAAACAAAGCATGAAAATGGTTAAATATGCAAAAGCTCTGAATATTAAAAACTGTCTGTGATAAGGGAAAAAAGCGTTCCAGCTTTCGTGGCCCAAATTTTGAATTTAAAGAGAGGTTTAAAATAAAAACTGCCAGATTTTATTGGATGCTAATTTAAATTTATCTTGTTCTTATCAAACATTCTAACGAGCGAGCTACCGCGTTACTTAGATGCAAGATTCTTTCTGAGACCTTTTAAGATTCCCCTTGGATAATCATTTTACCAAACACATTGGAAAAGCTTACAGAGAAAACCTGTTCGGGACGGAAGGAAGGAAGGAACTCTTCACGCTGAAATTTACATTTGCAGGTAGGGAGTAAACGAAGACAAACGTCATTTTGAAGAAAAAAGGGGACTTTTAAAGAGTGCAACGGAGCTTCGAGAAAATGCTGATTACATTTTTATTGTCTACAATGATGCTACTTTTCTAGCAACCGTTTTTTACATGTCTAAGCAGAAAATAGAAAAAATCTTTAGTACTTCTTGAGTTGGCAATAGGCACAGTTATCATTCTCATTATTAAATCAATTCAAAGACTTGTATCAGGAAGTTCGTAAAAGAGTTCCTGCTGCGACGGTTATTTACCGTGGTTGTTCCATTTCATCAATATTTTGTAGATATAAGAAGAAAAAGATACAGCTGGAAATGAAAACAGTCATGATACATGAAACAAAAAAATAGGGGATCATATAGGGTTGTCTAATGAAAAATCTCTTTAAGATTTGGAATTGTGACCATTGAACCATCAGAGAACCTATTGCTTATGGCCGGACATCTGGAAGTCGATCAATTTTTAATTTAAAAAAAAAGCCTCCTTCTTATTCTTCTTCTTTTTATTTTTATTTCCGGCGGTCAATTCGCCTTGATCAAAACGCACTCAACGTAATTTAAGAGCGATTTTTCATTTTATTCTGAGAGCTTCTGTAAAAGCGGGATATTGAATCTGCACTGCAGCCACTTCCCTGAGTTACCTTTTCCTGAGGCATTAATTTTCAGAAAACTGTCAGGGCGTGTAAGGTTCTTTTTATTTTTCTCCTTTACAATGTCCATATGAATTGATGATAAACCTTTTTTCTTGCTTCCAAGTTCTCTCCCGGCTTGCTTGCTCAAACCCTCCCCTTAAACATGGCAACTTTAAAACACAGCTTGATGAATCACCTTCTAGAGAGTTTTCTTAGTAGTAATCAACCGTGTTTTTTTTTAAGTTTTCTAAGGCAGTTGATATCTTTTTCATGATGTTTTACACATATTTGATACGGAGAAAATTTTTTTCTCAAATAAATCCTTTGTAATTATTCCTGTAATTACGCCAGAAGATTCTCATTGGCATATCTGAGGCCACGAGGAACCCTATACAGATATTGCATTTACCAGTGCTACGATATGAGAAAATGTAGTCATATTACTGTCCCTAAATTGTTGTTTTGCACTGTTTTAGATTGCTTTATATGCGGGAAAAAAAAAAAAAACTTCTCCAATACCAGGCGTTTTCAAGCGTTCATCGTAAACCAATGTCATAAGATTTAGATTGATTTTTATCGGTTGAAATCTTGGTGAGGGAAAAAAAACCAATTCTTGATACGACTTGCTAGGGCGGGTTTGGTTTCATGGGAAAAAAAGTTAAAATCATCTTCGCGAGAGTCAGAACTTAACAAGAAGCGAGATGAGTTAAAGCTATAGAAATCGAGATAACGACCTCCGTTGAGCAATTTTTTGGCATTATTATCCTAGGTCCAGTATCTGAAACACTCTCCGACAGAATTCCCCGATGAAGTCCTGGATCATTTTCTTGCTGCTGGCTTCGCTGGCCATATACAGTAATGGGCGCACACGGTTTCGCATGATCGAGTTTGATCAGGCAGAGGAAAAGAATATGATGTACAAGTCTTGCATAAGGCAATGTACAAAAGCATGTGGGCTGTCTGAGTCCTGTCGGAGAACAACTGACAAGCAGGCGCTGTGCATGAATGGTGCAGGCGATGATAAGCTTATGTGGGAAGGCTTTTTGTTTAATAATGAAATGATCAAAGCATGCGGTAACATTATCGCACCGATGATCAGCCGGCGCGAACCGAATCCCGAGCCAAGACAGCATATGGATCCATACGAGCTTTTGCGGCTGATGGACATGTAATAATCTAAGTTTTTGTCGAGGGAAGACGTTATCATGTTCCTTTTTTAAGTAGAATTAGCGGGGAAAAGCTTGAGCACTTTTAACAGCTCAAGGGGAATTAGAAATTAATCGGAAACCTCTCATTTGAAAAATAACGTCACTTCAATTTAGTCTTGCTTTTGTTATAAAATTGTTAAGGAATGGATTGGGCAAATTCCTTTGTTTAGTTTAAGTTGTATTTATGTTTGACAGACATGACCAACCTGGAGTCAAGAGCAGTGTTTTGTGGCTCCTAAAATTAAACTTAAGCCACATACTAAGATTTGGATTTCTTAGACTATCATCCCATCATAATCTCTCTATAACAGCTCCATATTAGCCCTTTGCACCCTTAAATCAGTATGCATTTTCTCCATACTGTTCTCTATACATTTCTTAAGGTGATAACAAGGAGAATTTGTGTAACAATCAAGAGCTTATTTAGTTGGTGATCATTTCCTTTATTCTCATGACCTTAATGTTTGATTCAGGGGTGATATTGTAAAGAGAAATTAGATGCTGGTCACTCTTAGGGGTCAAAGAGTTAAGGTCATAGAGGAAAAGATCAAGAACATATCCATCTTGAATGGACAGGGTAAAAAAACTTTGGTCACTTAGCTGGTCTTAGCTTTGGGTGCTCATCGAGGGGACAAGATTGGGGCTCTGTTATACTAAGCCCAACCCCTGACATTAATCCCCACCCCTCCCTCCTCCCGTATACCTTTTCTCCCGTCCCTGAACTGGCAATCAATGTTTTATTATCATCTAATGAACGGACAAAAAAAAAACTCAAATGTTTAGGGCCGGTTATTGAAACAACGTTTAGCCGTTGTTTAACAAAACTGTGTTCTAAACTATCTTGAATTTAGCTGAAACTTTTATCTGAACTTTCCTCTTGGTGAAGAGTGTCAAGATCAAGGGGGCCAAAAGCTGGCAGTGGAAGTACATTTATTTATGAGATCAACCTTCTTATAGAGAATACCGTAAAAAGGCCCACTGCCTGCGTAAAACTGCGGTTTGGGTAAACCTCGTGTAAATAACTGGCACTGAGAGTTTACATCATAATGTCAAGAATCCAATACCCAAGACCTGAGGGAAGTAGAGGAAACGAGCATAGCCTTGTAGAAAGAGACGTACGGTGAGCTGATCCCGAGAATAATCATGATCTAGAGAGAAGAAAGGGCGTGTGTCACATGAAAATCAGTTTCTTCAAATACTCATTTCTGAGCAAATGCAATGAGCTATTTTATTCCGTATCTAGTTTCTCTAGTAGATTTAAACCAAGTTTAAAATGTTGACATCGAGTTCCTGTCGTAACACCAGGACGATGGGACAAAATTTGTATCTGAAAGAAGATAAAACCAGTTTAGACAATTGCAATATATATGATTCAAATGATACAAATGTACATTTTTGACTAAATGACAGTTTTTAAAAATCCTGATATCTTTTGTTGTTCGACCCGAAGGCAGGGAATATATTTCTTCCGGTGAAGAGCAAAATCATTGATCGTAGCCACCTGTTTTATTTGCAAGGCAAAATAGGAGTCTGAGAAAGGTTTTTAAGGCTATTTAAAGAAATTCAAGTGTGCATGCATGTCTTCACATACATTGTTTAGCTGCTCTATTCCAAAAACTGACGTTGAAAAGCCGTTTTATTCTCTCACACACAATTTACTGGACCTTGCCACGTGCTGGTTGCCACACGTTTCTTCCTGCTCCCGGGGTGACTACTGTCACTCAAGGAGAAATACACTGTACTGTACTGTACTTACGGGCAAATGGTCTTTATTTTCCTATTTTTTTCCATAACTTTATATACCTGTGCGTCAAAGAAAATGGCGATGGAATCGTATTAGTCGGTGAAATATCTGAAGGCGGGAATATGGAAATGGACAAATGGCCATCAAAGGCTGCTCTCAACAATGATTCATAAAAATTCCAACATTGAGTAGACACACCTTATTCGACGGCTTGCTATGCGAGGATATTTTACGAGTTCCATACTATTTTTTTCGAGTCCGTAATTGTGAAGGAATTACGAGAAATGAGCGAATGATCAATTTTCCGATCGTGTATCAAAGCCGCTATATCGGATTGATAAGTTTAGGGAAAGCCTGGTACAGAGAAACCAGTGAGGGGGAGAGCGGGGGAATGGTGGGGAGAGGGGAGGGGTAGTGGAGTCATTTTCCCCACCACTTACCTTATAATTGTACAGGCTAAGGTGAACTTTGTACGGCCCTAATGATTGTGCCCTAATTGCTTTGAATTGAACCTCCTTTGAACTTTTTCTGCGTTATCACGTATTTCTAACGACATGAACAACCATATTTGAACAATAATTCTAGCTCGTATTTCTTACCACGGACTTTTTGTTGGCTTCTTTATGCATATTATACATTTGCATTCCACGTCACCATGCTTAACTGTTTCCACGCCTATATCGAAACCTTTTGGTGGACAATGCCTCGAGCCACACACATCGAATTCGCAGTCTGTGAGGAAAACATAGTAAAAAAAGTTCATCTCCTAAAGGCCTTTTTTTTTTGAAAAGTAAATTTACGTCTCTATCGACAATGATATCACGTCTAAACTGACCAATCAGTTTACACGAACCGGACTTAATACACCTGACAGACTCTATGCTAGACTCTAATTTTGACTTCCGCTAAGGTTGTCGAGATATCAGTCACTACTACCGACAGCAGTCTTTCTCAGGACCACCCTTTTCTCGCCTAAACGATCAAATCACACGATCACATGTTCCCACCGGGTTCAATTTACTCTTCAATTTACCATTTACTCTATTTTTCGACTAAATACTGAGCAAACGAAGGCACGTAACCTTTTCCCAGTGCTTGTGGGACCTACACGTCCTAACTACAAATCTAGTAAATATAAATTTAAACTACAGATCTAGTAAATATAAATTTAGCTATACCTTAACAAAAGGGAGGTTTATGTCAATGATAGATAACATGTAAGCCAGAATTTCTCATTTCAAAACTTTCATTTCCATTTCATTAAACCTTGAGGTAAGGCTTTATACAAATGAACAAGCAGAACTGGAAAATGTAATAGGCGTAGAACTTATGAATTTCAACTACGAAATTATTGATCAGGGACCACCTTACCTATTTCTGCAATTATTGTTGTCAGACAGCAAAGTAAAGCGATGAAAATTATGTACGCCATATTCTTTTTCAAAAATATTTCGTCGACCTAGTTTCGAGAGGAAAGGAGAGGGAACGATCAAAAGTGAATGAAATTCAAATTAAAAAGACATTTCCAGGTCCATCGTGACAAATTAAAGAGAAAAATCATGGAAGGAGCCGACGAGGAATTTGGATGGAAACTCGATATGCTTCTTTGGCCTTCCATGGGGATCCTGGAGATTACCAATCTTCGTGATGACGATGGACGAACGTTCGAAACTTCAGCTTTAGAAAATCTTTGCGGTGGTAAATTTACATTATCGACTCAGTTGATGAAACCAAATTATCTTGTTTAGACAACTCAGTGTTTACATTATGTTTACATATCACATGAAATGTGTCTCGGCAAACGTTTGTTTAAAACCTCAAGCCAAAAGTTTGAGACCATCACGGAAAGAGTTTGTGACCATCTCAGAAAAAGTAAGCGGTATATACATTGAAAAATTACATTAGCAATAAATGGTGAAATACAAGAAATTATCTTATATGTGCAAACTGGAATCAATATTTATAATATAGGAAAAAAATTTCAGAATACTGTACCTTTGACAATTTACAGAATAACTCCAGATCGTTCGTTCTTTCCCCGAATCTTCTGAAATATATTTGATCTAAATATGTATTCAGTACTAATATTTATACATAAACACTTAATTAATTGATACCAATATCGTCCAAATCCCTTAACGACAAATTAAAGCAGTAATGTCCCTTAGCGACATTGTAAAACTGATTCGTCTAAAAATAAAGAAATGCATAAACTTGGAGTAATATACGGAAATATTGATCCCAATATTTTGATACACGTGATCCGAAAATTTTAAAAGCATAATTTTTCTTCTAATTGAAAACCAAACATATTATGTTCAAAAACGTGTGAAGTGTTTTATCTTTTATAATTCATCATCGGTCATTTAGTTCTTGATTAAGAATAAAACTCACAATGATTATCTTTATGAATGATTTTCATTTTCTCAATTTCTATGGTTCAGCATAATTGGACGATCTCCTTTGAATAGCTCATTGAAGCTTGCCAAGATGTATTTCCATTACAAGTAATTAGCAGATACTATGAATAAGTAAATTATTACTAATTTTTTATAACGGACAAACCCGTCAAAAGAGGGGAGGAGCTTACTACAAATAGCTTCTGCAAGCCATGTTTATTAGCTTTTCAGCAGATCCTCAGTTGCTTGACTCATTTGTCGCGATGTTCTTGAACGCACGAAAACCGAACTGAGAAAGTTAATGGCTTGCGTTCGGAGTAAAAGGAGTTGCCATCTTTAAAACAAAAACTAATGGTAAGCTGAGGGTTGATTAGGAAGGTTGTAGGTACGTTTCTGCTTTCAAGCGGCCGAATACATACAAGATGGCTTCAGAATTCGTGCGTTTTCAAAAAAAAAGAAGTCGCTTAGTTACACGTGAGGGAGCATTTTCAATAAAATACAGAAGAGGCCATAAAGTGTTTGCATCAAACCCACAACAAAAGTTTCTTCAAACGAATATTTGGAGGCAACCTCCATATGCTACTTTTATTATCATCTGGTTCTACAATAATTCTAAACTCATTTTAAGTTACATCGCACTGTTGTCGAGCCACACTAAAATGCGAGAGGTATGAAACATATGTCTGAAAGAAGAAAAAAACCAGACCGAAAATTAAAACACATTTTATGTCTTACTTAACGTCTATATTAAGTCCTGAATAAAAATAATAATGATGTTAATGAAAAGCACATACACACACAAAGAAATTGTCTTTTTTTTTTTTTGTCCTTTGTCTTAAACTTCTGTAAACGTGAAACCGTCATTCTTTTTTTGCAATTAAGACCGTCTGGTTATGTGACACAGTACAATGCTCATTTTTTGCATCCGATTTGAGGGTGATATTGAAAAGACTTTACTATTTATTGGAAAACTAGCGGCCTTTATTTTCCTGGTAGAGAGAGCGCAAAGGGAGCCTTCAGAAAGTGCCTAATTAGGGGTAGCTGGTGAAAAATAAAATCATCCTCATTATACCTTGCTGTAGTTTTCTTACAGGCAAATGATCTTCATTTTCCCAGCTTATTCCATATCTTTTCATACCTATGCGTTAAAGAAATGGAATCGTATCAGGGTTTATGAAAGAGCCAGGGTAAAGCTGGGATGAGCACATGTTGCCATGATGCAGTACTCTTTACCATGGTTCATGAAAATCAATATTGATTAGTGTAGTTCACAATGAAAATCTATCGCAACCCTGACATAAGCATCCCATTGAGTTTCTCAAAATATTTTTTGAAGCACAGCCTGATTTTGTTTCAGCAAAAGAAAGGTAAAAAAACCCCCGTTCTTTCTTGATTTGGGGAACATGTATCCTGATAACAAATTTCAGGAAAATATTCCATTGAAGAGCTAAGACATGTGTTAAGATCGTTGCATAGATCGCCATTTTGAACTATTTTGCAAGAGGAAGATCACAGGTTTGGCTTAAAAATATTCCCAAACCTCCAAACCAAGATTACATAGTCTTCAACTCAGATTTCTGTTCAACAAGTAATCCACGTTGTGACAAGCAGTTTTAGCAAGAAAATGAAAAACTTGGAAATCGTTCTTGACATTATTAGAACGCATTGATTGCCAACATTCGGAGCGGATGTAAAACCCTGCAAATAATTGTGAGATTTTCCTAGCAAGGTAGGCGATATGGTCATTTCTTACAACCACATGCACCTTCTTCGTAAAGGCTAAGGCGAACCTAAAGACAACTACTGAAGACAACTTCACCGAGTTAACTGATTCGGCTGATAGCGAAATTGCCATAGAAACGGCTCGGCTTAATTATATTTGCATTTGCATATATTCTTTTTTTCCGTTCTATTTATCTATTATAATATTATAGCGATTTAACCAAGTAACCTCATTTGTTGTAGCTTGGTTTTCTGTTTTTTTTTTCTTTTATAAGAATTATTCTTTCCATTTCGGTATTTCAATTTCTCATCTTAGTACTCTAATTATAGTAACTATCAAGTTTATATTTATTTCTCTTCCGCATTTTGTTACTGTAAAATTTTTATTAATCTGCGTGAAACTACTGCTCTCCTCGACTAGCTGTTGCTATCTACGAGCAGCAGATGTCAAGCTGTAAATATACTAGTATCAATAAATTGAATTGAATTTAACTGAAGCTGTCAGCTTCAAATAGGTGCGAGACTCTTTTCTTTTATCATTCATTTCCAACAATATTAAAACAGTTTATTACAAGAGATTATTGTTTTTTTACCATGCAGGAGGTGCAGTTGTTGGTTTCTTGACACATACGAGACATTTGCATACCAAGCCGCCTTCTTTTTTCGTTACTATGGCTGTATCGTAATATTTTTGCGGACAGTGCGTCGAGCCGCACACATCAAGGTCACAGTCTGTGAGGTAAACACAAATCACTATTTTACTTCGTTGACTGTATAAAAGAGACTCAGTAACCTTTTCCTAGTCCATTTATAAATTGGTTTCACCATACAAACTGAGGAGTTTTACAAGAGTTCCAGCCCTTAGAAAAGCCGTAACTGCGCACGTGTAAAATAGTGATAATTTCATCACATGTGTTTGATATCGCAAATCAGCTATTGACATGTTACTCGCCTTTCGCGTCACTCTGTTGATGCAAGGAATGGCAATGGAAAGTGTTCATCATTCTCAATGCAAAGTCGTTTATCGAACTTTCTCGTCGGTAAAGGCCTGTAGTGTTTGAAAAATAAACACTCCATACATGGTTGCTTTTATAGATATGGAATTTCTCCTCTCGTGCCTCACCCGTACGCTGCGGCGCTCATTTGAATAACATCAAATCGAACACTTGAAGAGAAATTCAATATCTACGAACCTCCATGTATTATTCTCCTTTTATCAAGGGAATTGATGATGCAGACATGTTTTAAACATAAAAAGCAGACGTGAAATTCCCACTTTGAAGCTTTTGCTTCGCTCTCATTTCAAGGACCTTCAAGAAATGATTCATGTGATTGAACAAACAGAACTTTAAAAAGTAACAAGTGTTGAAAGGACTTCGGCGAAGAGACTGTTTTCTTTCCTTACGAGAACCCAAACAATTTACTAGCATGCAATGAGAGATGGAAAAGTATTGGAGCTTTTCAAAAATCATTTGATTGAAAAAACTATTACAAACTTAAGTCAGTTCCAATGCTAGAGATTAGTCAATCATATATTCTTTCATTATATGGTCAGCAAAATTTTCAACCGTGATACAAAACAATGCACCGTCAGGCTGGCAATTGCAACTTCTCCAAAATTGGACTGGAACAATTGAACAACCAAATCGTTCACAAAGCCGACCACGAATGCTCGATACAAAAGGAATTTTAAATCAAGGGAACAGCCATAACAATGGCATTTTTTTGCGGCACGCAACATCTTACATAGTTATTTTTTCTCTTAATGAACTACGAAAAAAAAGTTAAAAAAATTAAATTGAGACTTTTACCTAAAAGGGCACTTGCATTTTAGTCATGATTTTATAACAATAGTCTCATATACGATGGCTGATTTATGTAGTTTGTGAGCTGGTAAATGGAAAAGGTTTATTGATTGGAAAAACGCCTTACCTAACTCTGCTATTATTGTTGTTAAACAGCAAAGGAACGCAATGATAACAATAATCGCCATGTTCTCCTTTCAAAATACTTCGTTGACCTAAGCGAAAGAGAAGGAGACAGGAAACGATCAAGAGTGAATAAATTTAAATCAAAAGAAGTTTACAGGTCTTAAGGGTGACAAAAAGAAACAAATTAGCGGTCGAGGACTTAGGACAAATACTCGAACCCTGATTCTCGGGCTAGGCACGTGGATCATCATGGCAATATTGGTTATACAATGTGAATAGAAACACATCAAGCATTTTGAGCTCCATACCTCTAACAGAAAGGGACAGGAATTTCGAAAGGCTGATGGGGGGGGGGGGAGGGGAGGGGAGGGGGGGAGCCGTTTAAACATTTGAAAATAGACAATCGATACCAGACAGATGGAAAGTAATGTTTACCTTATAGAAAAAAGGCTGTTGGAATATTTACCTTTTGACAAACGCCACCATACGTTCACTCATCCAATTCTCTCTCTTTATCTTTTTAAAAGTGTATGCATTTTAAAGCGCTCGTTATGTATAAGCCCCTTAGTAATTATTTGCTCAGCCACAATCACCATCGATTGCCAAAAGAAAAAAATTAGGATAGTCCAATAATACATTTGCATGCAGAAATTCAGAATAATTTGGTGCTTGTTTTGAAAGTCATTATTTAAAATCATACAATTTTTCAAGAAGAGTGCAATTGCTTATGTGAAAAACCTTAGGTATTTTAGGCTTCAAGGTTGTTAAAACAGCTTTCTTAAAAAAACCTGAAATTCCCTCCTTCGCTGTTTAATAAATTCTAACGAGAGGATCTCCCTTAAATAACTCAATAGGGCTTAAAAAGATGTCTATCCATTATTTGTGATAAGCAGATGGTTAAAAATTCAGTAGAACATCATTAAAAGTTTGTTATGATGGACACGGAATAAAGAAGGGGGAAGACCACTCTATCCTAAAACAACTTGAATACACGTACTAATTAGCTTAATGGTAGTTGCGTGAATGTTTTACCCATTTATCTTGACTCTCTGACACATTATTTTTCTTGAACACGCTGAAAATACTGAAGTTGGCATGGTGTATATTATCCGTCAATCATACACAATTTCTTCATTTCATAACTCAATTGAAGTACGTCGCGCGCAGACTGGTGCATAGTGCTGACTAGGCTTACTCTGTACAGATGATTATAATTACCAAAGTACTGTTCAATTCCGCGCAGTCGAAGGAAACAAAAATGGTTTCCCGTTTCGCTCAGGTAACGAAAGAGCGTGAATTTCTTGGATTGAAAAGGAGGCTGTTGGACAAGTGTGAAATAATGACTTGAATAAAAATATGAACAATATCAATTATAACAAAAATGCGACAGAAAAATAAGATTGGTATGACAAAATTAAATGGTTATTTAGTTTATAAATTTTATATAATTTCTATCCTATTAATCTAAGACTACTTATCAAGGTTGAAGTTAACCCAAACTTTCGAAAAACATCTTGGCAAAGATCTAGTTTTTTCATCGCATTGTTACAAGACGATAAAGAATACCAATGGAAACACAAAATACCCGAGCAGAGATATAACAGCATTCAAGAGTTCTACTTATCTGCGGGAAAGTGAAAAGAAAGCGAAATGGGTATTTTTTTTTTAGCAATAATACCTTTGCTGGAATGGGAATTATACGACAAGGTTTTCACAGGTTTAATTTACGAGTTTCTGTTGATTTATTCCCTATTGTCAGGTACAAATAGCATGCCTGGTTTGCTCTCTTCACACCAGCAAGACATGTTTAGGTAAACCAGGTGTAACGGGATGAAACTCAGCAATGGAATACTAAAAACTTAATTTTACCAAGGGTTCAAGTACTAACTAACTTTCAACGGGTCGCTTTGATTTTAAGTCGACATTAAGTCAGCAACAGTTTAAGCAACTTCAAAGGAAAAAACAATTTCAAAACGTGATTGACGAAACAGCTTTAAAACTTGTTTTAGCTTTGGTATGAGCGGTGCATACGACAATATATCGCTGTCACTGGAAGTGGTAGAATATTATTTGCCTTCAATTCCATAAGTGTTAATTATAATTTTAAAAAATTTCGGCTCTCGTCGTGTTCGAGGGTTTTGTCTTTATTTTCTTGTTCTTTACCAATCTCGTTTAATGTCAAAGTTTTTGCTCAAATTCAAGCCTGGTTCCGCGTAATAACGTCATTGTTTCAACTGACACTAGCATTAAATTGTTTATTGTAAATCCACAAGTTTCAAGATGATTTAGAAGGTCAGCTTTAAGCCACTCAAGGGGCCAACCGTAGATGTCCCGTTCTTGGACGAACTTTGTACATTAAGGAAAGGGGCAGATAGAGAGGAAGCGACGGATACAGTCACATACATGTAGTACTAACCTACATTATCCTTCGTCAATTGCTGTCGGAATAAAAATTCAGATTACCTAAATTATTTACCTGGTGAAATATCCTTAAGAAAGTTTCCTCCTTGTTCTGTAAACCAACGGTCGGGAGCTTCTGGTTGTGAGTGCGGCTTGTTTTTAAAGGCAACGCAATGAATAAAAGTTTACCAATTTTATAGTCTCCCGTAGACGTTCTCTGCTGGCGAGTTCTTTTCTTGTGCGAGACAGCACTTTCATTGTTTTGACGGAAACATCCTTTATGTTGCAATTTGCTTGTCTCAAATACAAAAATTAACATTTTTACGCATTTAGAGTGTCATTTTTTCTCTCTCCGTCGATAGTCTGATCATTCAGTCTTTATTCTAGAATGTTTATGTAAATAACTAGTAGAAACTCTAATATGCAGGTTAAAAAAGCCAATTAGAAGTTTTAGTTGGGAATCGCTGACAAAAGAGATTTTTGTAATCTGCTGTTACCAACTCAAGAACCTAAAAATTGTCACATTTCGTGATCAGGTCCGGAAAAACTCATAAATATCGCAGCAATTGCTTCCTAACTCAAGCCACGATAAGGAAGGAAACCAGCTGGAAACTGATATCAGTTTTTATTAAAACTTCTCGCCCCCGTTGTAGCTAGCAGAGCAAATTCAAACATTTGTCATTCTCAATGACCTCACGTAGCGATCATACAATTGGTGTGTAATAGCTTTTTGAGTATCACTTGCTCTCCAAATTTTCGACCTGAAATATATTTATTAGCGACTTTTTTTATTAATTTTCGAAAAAAATAAATTCTGTTGTTTTAGATAATCTGGTTTGTCCATGCTTTTCTTTTAAACTATTACATGTTCATCCGATTTTGGTCTTCGGGCCTGTCTTCATCGGATTTATTACTTTGAATGATGAGTTTAACAAACGTCATCCGGTTCATTTCCCCTTAACCAGGCGATTCTCATGAAAAAGAGATAACTAGTGAATATCAAGTTTTGAAAACAGTGGTAAAACAGCCAAAATTACTAATTTTGACTTCCTCTACTCATTTTTGTTCTCGATGGAACACACTCTTTGTTCAAAGAAAGCTTTTATTGCCTTCTGTTAAAAAAATATGCAATCCTAAGATCAAGAGTATGAAACATAGAAATTGTATGTCGACTGAAATAAATAAAACAGAATGACTCGTTGCGGTCCACGGCAGAGATTAGACTTTATTCTCTATTTATAGTATTTTAAAATATCACGAACAACAACATTGACGATAAAGGGAAATTAAATGAAAAAGCCACCAATCAGGACGGCTTTGTCTAAGACATGACATTGAGCTTTATGTTTATTTGATTGGCTGGGCAATGTCCATTTTAACTGTCCCAAAGGTAATGTACAGATATCTACGCACTCGGAAGAACTGCAACAAGACAGAAAAAATATTAACTCAACTCACTAACAAACTGCCTTAGGCGCGGGAAAATGAGGGCGGCTACTTCATGCTTGGTTTAAGCTTTGCATCTGATTGGTCGAGGGAGTGGCGCGAGTTTTCTGGGCCAATTACAGAGTAAAGTAATGAAAAACCAATGCCCCGGATAACTTTTGACACTCAGTTGAAAACTATTTTATTAGGAAACCACTCAGTTGTACTTGTAAGAATTTATTTTTCTCGCTCACCTTAAATGCTGGATTAGTGATGCTTTTTCAAGAATTGACACCTGTTCATTCATAGTAAGGACTTTCACCTTCCTCATAGAATTCTGGTTCAAAAAACCCATCCCCGTCAATTCCGTAACTGAAATAAAGAAAGCCAGAAATATGTTTCTCTTTAAAACAAGGCACACTTTAAGTGGACGCACATAGGATGCAGATTTAATGAATCTAACAGAGTCAAACATCAAACAAATGGAGTGTTTTTCGATTGGGTGTCGTAAAATCACAACCGAAGTTATTTCAACAGCCAACCATAGGAATAGAAATAACCTTTAAAAAGCCCATTAGAACTCAAAGCAAAACGCGCCAAACAATCTAAAGCGCGGGAAAAAGCGGACAATCAAGTCGTGATTGGCTTTACTTTTTAAACTGATGTGTTAGAAAGTGAGAAACTGAGAAAGTGGCACGAGTTTTCTGGACCAATCACATAGCGAAGTAAAGCGAAAACAAAACAATCCCAGATTGCTTTCGACATTAATATTGAAAATTGCCCTAACATACCGACTGGGTGTAGAACTTACTCTATAAAGTGAGACACGGAAAATCTCTCCGGTGGACATTCGTATTTAGGGCATTTACATTCAGGAACTGATGTCTCCTCAAGTTCCATGACAGCTTCCTGTCCATCAGAACACGTGATCTGGTCATAGTACCTCTCGCAAAGAGGTTCACACATGAAGAATGAATAACCTTCATTGACCACGCATTTGCATTTGTATTGGCAATCCTGAAGGGCAACTGACTCTCCAGGGTATACTGGTTTGGCTCCATGCATGCAGAAACCTACAGAAATAAAGTGGTAAGAAACTAAATTAGGTTGAACTTCTCTCACCCAAGATATAAGCAGGGTAATTTAGTGTTATTAACTGAGTTTATAACGTAAATTGGCCACCGTAAAGAGTTTAAAGGCTGACTTTTCGAGCGTTAGCCCTTTTTCAATCGCTCTGACGAAGGGCTAACGCTCGAAACGTCAGCCTTTAAACTCTTTAAGGTAGCAAATGTACGTTATCAACTCAGTTGATAACACTAAATTACCTTGTTATACTTTCCCACCGACGCAGCACCACGGTTTCTTTAGAAACTTACCCCCCCCCCCCCCCCTTTATTCAAGATATAAATAGTTTACACCTATCATTTGTGAAGCTTGGTGTAAGAAATAGCTTCAAAAACGGTGAAATTCTACTTCAAATTCAGAGACAAGTATCTGAGGGGGGAAGTCACCACAGTAGATTTTCCTTGCAACTTAGTTTTTATTATGAATGCTATAAAAAATACATTGCACGGCGGCGAAATTTCTAAACCTTCACCTTACTTGATAGTTCTGCTATAAAAGGTTTCTTCAAATGATAAACTCTTGCGGTCACTATTGAAAAATGTAGACTATGAACGCTTCTGGTATAGGTCTCAAAGGACATAAAGATTTATACTTTCACTGAAAGGCCTCTACGGAATATGTGATATCAAAGAAAATAGTGGTGTCATTTTTTTTCTCTTAGTGATATTAATGGTTTTTGCATCTCGTTCAATCGCAAGATGAAAGTTGATATGAAGAACTGACATGTAGGTTAAAAACATTTTGCATAGAATACGGCTTGGATTAAATCCTTATTCATCTTTATTAAATTGCTAGCTATTTCATGACAAGAATTAGCATTACCAGAAGAGGAAGCAATGGTAGCTGCTGACGTCATGGAGAACACGGTTATGGAAGTAACCAATAGGATACAAGCTGACAACATTGATAACATCGCTATTCTGTTTCGTCTGCAGATAAAATAGAATCAAAGTTTGAGTGGATACGCAAAAGATAGTCGACCAAACTTCATGCGTCGTTTCTGGGAAAATTTATCTCAATAAAATGAAATGAAAACCTTCAATCTGAATTTTTCCAAAGAGTTAGTTTGAGCGAAGGTCTACGAACTAGTTCGATCTCCTCATGGTAGAAATACTGTCAGGCGGTTACTTCTTTAAATTTTTCTTTCCTCAACGTTCAACGAGAGGCAAGTGCCTAATGAACCACTGAAATCATAAACAAGGTTACTTTGGCCGTCGAATGAACTGAGTTTACATGGTATGCCGCAGGTGCAGTGAACAGTGTGTCTCCCACGAAGCACAAGGCCGGTAGAATTAATTTGAAAAGACGGAGGAAAAACTAAGGCAACCGAAACAAGAGATAAATTTGTCTCATATTTCATTGTCAAAACTATTAACAACAGCTTAGTAAGATAAAACAAAGGCGATGCTAATGAAATCATGATCCTGCAGGGCAGTATATCAAAGTAAAAATGGTATAATAAATGTAAACGTTTGAGAAAATTAAAGTTTGCCTAAGTCTTCCCAACTGGATGTAGATTTCGCAATGGACAAAAGAGAAGGAGCAAATCAAGACACGTTAGAAGTCCGTTTTACATGCACGAAATTTTAGAAGTGAAAAAAAAAATGATAAAAAACAAATGAAATATAAAAAATAATCCAAACCCTAAGACATGAAATTACCGATGGAACAACCAACCTGAAAAATATTAGTGGAGTCTGAAGTAATCCTAAGTTGAAAACCAGGATGAAAAGATACTTGATGATGAAATCGTTCAGGGACGAACGCAGAGATAAGCTTTGTCTTGATGTGTTTTTTCGTCCAATAAATATTAGTAAAAGTGCTTTGTTGCATTCAGGTACTTGGTGTCAAATTTGAGATAAGAGGTTTTAAAACGTTGCGGAAATATGGCCATAAAAATAAAGAGAATGAAAATTCGTGAATGGCTGAGGCTTTTAAAGTTCTGAACTGTTCTTGATGTCGTTTTGGGGATTTTTTATGTTTTTTTTGTCATTTGTGACATGTTCATGGTTTGGCTAATTGCGAATTAATTTACGAAAAATTAGCTAACTTGCAATGGGAAATATAGAAGAAAAAGAGAAAAGTTGATTAAAGTAGGGATTTCTTACAATAGCAAGATAATTACCATAAAGAAAATGTCATGGTCAAACTTTTAACTTACCAACCGAAGAGATACCAGTGAAAGCGCTTTTAAAATTCTGTCAGACTGCAACTGAACAAACTCTCGGCGCAACTTAAACAGTACAATGAATGTTTTGAAATAACTGGCATGTTTTTGTATATTTTCGTGCTATTAGTTATTATAAATGAGCTTACTGACGCAAATTTGTTGTTCTGAATATATGTACACAAAGTTTTCGATAAAAGAGATCTTGATAGAAACGATAATAAAAAAGCAACTGCCGGACGCAAATTAACGCGAACAATGAAAAGGCCAATAACATGGAACTACGCCTAAGGAGGTAATTAATTAAGTGCCTTTATTCCGTGAAGGAAGCTTTGAATTCTCTTAAATTTACTGAATCTAGGGATTTTCATTTATCTAACTTATGCGCTTTCGGTATTTTTCCGCTTTCGTAAAATTAAATATTTGAATTTTCATTCTTAAAAGATGTTTTTGCCATTTCAAGTGTATCAGTCGACCGTACGTGTGTGTGTGTGTGTTTTTTTCTTTTTATTTTTGGAAAATTTCGACATATTTGTTGTCAAAATCACCACAAGAACACAGTTTATCAATTTCTGGAAATGTCATCAGCTTGATTACAGACGGTCAACAATTACGTGCGAACTTTTCGCTTGACGTTGACAGACGCAGACTTGGCACTTTTAGAACAATGGCCGGCTACATTTAAAAGTTTTTTGAAATGCAAATATGTGCACGAAAAAAAAATTACGTAAAAATGTTTCAAATATGATCTTATCCAATGCGATAAAAAAGGAAAAACAACTTTAATCTTTCAGGATATCTTTGCTTCTTTTAACTTAAGTCTCTTACTTTTTGTTCAAAGGTTATCAGATTGAAACGAAACGAAAGAAAAAACCATTGTGAATTTATACAGGAAATACGCAGTCTGTTTTAAAGGAGAAATTCCAGTTATTGACACACCTCACAGAATTAAATTTTTATGAAGGGAAGTGTTGTAATCCCTTCTTTAAGCCAGATGTCCATGTTGGTTTTTTTTTTCTTTTTTTTACCCTAAATTTTAACTTAAAACACATAAGGCGACAATTTGCGGTGGCTTATAAGTCGATGGTGCAGGGAGTAGCGACATTCCGTCTCGTGTGACGGGAATAGTTTTTGCTAACATCTTCATTCCTGCATCCAAAATCTTGTCTCCGAGATAAAGGCTACAAATTCAAACCATCAAAGGGCTTCGTCACGTCTCTCTCAACAGAACTATCGTTTAGAGTACCTTGTAGGAAAGCGTGGTAAACTGGAATCTATGAATACCATAAAAAGCTCGGCTGGTATTTCATTATAGCTGCCATAGGTTTCCGCTTTCGGTGAATCCTCAGGATTTCTGTTTGATCGCAGCAAGATCACTCCTGGCAAAGCCCTGCTGTTGCGACCCGGAATCTATGGAAAGATTGTCTGCCATTCTCTATTGGAAGATCCCCTTTGACCAAGGTAGGATATCCTCTCTTATGTACACTCAACACCTGGCGAGCTCATGCTACAAAAATGCATGGTACCCGTCCAGACGGAAACAATCGAAGATCCCGCGACCGAACCCCTCAAAACCTTCATTTCCTTGATTTCACTTGAGGTCGGTGGCAGGAAGTCAGCTGCATTATCATTTACAGACTATAGGCTTGCCCTCGTTCACTTACATACCGATGTTATCTGTAATGTATAAACCCAGTCCAGAAAAAAGTGAAGGCAAGATCAGGAGAGCGCTTTTCCATTCTGTAAACTTCAATCTCGTGTACAATCCAAATATGGAAAACTGGTCATGTGATATTGGGTAAAAAAAATAAAATAAAAATAATAATAATAAAACGGAAAGATCTAACATTACTGCAGTTCACGGTTTGTCTTTGTCAGACTCTACTTCAAATCCTGTTCCAGAAATGGCCCAACAGCTCTTTCAAGGCTGAGCTTTCATTGGCTTGTAAAGATTAACATATCATGCGTTTCTGCGGTTACTAAATGATCAGAGCTGGGCAAACATCGTTCATAAGGCAACCCAAGGTAGGGTAGGGCCAGGCCACCCTGCCAGCCAATGCAGCCGATGTTTTGAGTTTGAGAGTCAATCGGTTGTTACTTAAAAAGGCTACGGATTTTGTTATGGATTGCCTCTATTTTGCTGCTGAGAAAAAAAAAAAAAAAAAAAAAAAAGAAAACGGGTTTTGGCCAACTTAAGATGAATTTATACTTCTGTCAGGGCTTATTATTGTTACATTTTTAAATCTGTTCAGAGCTGTGTTCCCGTTTGGTCTCTTTTTTATGTAACTGTACTAAATTAAGCTCATACCATGTACTTTCACATATTCTGTTTGTGTATTTAACGATGGAATAATATTACTAAGATTAAACAAAGCATTTGAACTTGTTCAAAAGTATTTCAGCCTTATATGGTCGTGGAAAGGAAAGAGGGTTATTAAGCAAACAGGAAATACGTACTGTGAAGCAGGCAAAATGCGACAACAATTTTGTTTACGTTAGTTTTTATCTCTTGATCAATGACGCATTAAAGAACCCCTATTTTTTCTTTAATTGCTTTAATTTCAAACAGGCTTCGTTTCCAATCTATACCGGCCTTGTCTATATTTTTAGAACCGTCTGCCTGATGGAATTAATAGAGCGACTGTTTTTAACAGTGCACATCCACTGCAAACCACGTACTGATATTATGATAGAATTTGATAAAGCTTAAACACATACTTTTTAACCTCTGATCGACATCTGGAATTTCAAATTTGCCTTAGGTACATATAACACGCCTTCAAAATCCCTAAGCAATTCTTCACTTTCAATATCTCCTTGACCTGCTTTGACTGTTGTGTGATTTATGAATAATGAGGACAGTCAGAAGAGGGCTTTTAGATAAGACGGCAACGGACGCGTATGGAATCTAGCAAATTGCTTATAATCACACGCCTTACAAGGCTTATTTACAAAGCAGGAAAACCGCGTTTTGATGTGAAACGCAGCCCATTGCTACTTAATCCGGAAAGTTGATTGCATTCAATTCACGAAGACAATTCAACAAAGTGCAGCTAAAATGGTTTTTAAGCGTACGATCCTTTTTTTGGCTCTGGGTTTATCTTTCTGCCAGACGGAATCAAAATACCTTCTCCATCCGAAGTTCAGAGGAATGATTATGGAGAACAGTTTTGACGAGGCATCAGGTGAGGTCAATAGTTCTAGGCAAATTTCGTTCCAGCCTTTATATTTCTCTCGGCTGATATGATTTGGAAAAGAAAAGAAAACGACAGTAGCAAATAAACAAAGCCTTATTATTTGGTAGCTTATTTTAAGCGTTGGGACACCACTATTAATTAGCCGAAGGCATATGCATTGTATACGCAAATAAATGACGGTCAAGTTGATTCGTAGCTCCGTTGCTTTGAGTTTGTGTTACTTTGTCACAGATTTCGTCCTTAGTACGTAAAGGTAGACCCATTTCATTGATTCCATCGCTGGAATTTAAACACAGACTCACAATTCATTACCTTCTCTCGACTGACCTTATTCAACCGGGGTGGACTTTTATGTTAACGCAGTAGAATTAAGTTACACGTTTATTTATCCTTTGGGCAAGGTAAAGGCTGGGCACTCAATTAAAAGAAGCTTCTTTAAGTTCTCAATGGGATGATGGTTTTTGCGGCTAACGGCTAAAATTTTTGCCAATTTGCGGCTATCGGTAAATATCTTTCCACTGCTGTAACCAGAAATTTTTTTACGGTTAACTTTTTCTACCACTAACGGTTAAAAGTTCCCAAATTTTTACGGCTAATGGCTCAATGTTTTGGTCGCTTTACAGCTAACGGTTAACCCCATTGAGATCCTCTTAAAAAGTTTTGAAGCCGTTGAAGTCGTTCAAAAATAAACTAAAAAACCGAATCCTCAAATTGCCAAGTTGTACTTTATCCACCGCCATTGACGATAGTTAACGTCTCAAAAGAGAGGTCAGATCTCGAGCCCTGATAAGTCATACGGCGGGGCTACAATTCTCGCATGGAAATCCCTTTAATCTCTATAGCTTATGTTATAAACAGTGAAAATAGGATTTGTGACGTATCTCGTTGATTCCTGTTATCTTTTCGTAAACGGATTATACGGGGGTCTGTATAGCGTGACTCCGACAGCGCAGAGAACGTGCGGTTCCCTCTCATTATAAATAGGAGAATCTGGAATCCGATGAAATAACTTCGGCGCGCTATGTATCTCCACATAGCTAAACGAGTGAAAACGCTTCAGGATTTTACTGCGATAATTCAGGAATTCCTCTGTAACAATTTGCGAAAGGAATAAAATTAACTATGCGTCACCTTTTAGGAATTGGAAAACTTAGTATAGACGAAATATATTGCAGCATACATATGTTCTTCATCGGTGCAACTGATCCAGAAAATCTGAAGTTATTACCCTCAAAAGTATGCTATTAAGCCAAATAACCGGAAATATCATTCATGTGGCGTACTGACGGGATATAAATTAACAGATAAGGACAAAATGCGAGGGAACATGAACTTTTGCATGTATAGCTTGAGCTCATGGGTTATGGGACATTTGTTTTTTGAAAGAGAGTTCTGAAAAGTAAGCTTTGTTAATGAAGACAATATTTTTCTGGACATTTACGCAATCTTTGTAACTTTTCCTTGCGCGCCCTTCGCTCGAACTAACGAGGAATGCAGGTATAAAGAGTATGAACGCATTACAATAACTGGCTGAAAATTGTCGGTTAGGAGAAGATTATATCTCTCGGACTTGATTGTAGACATACTGCGAAAAATTATCATTTTACCACCAAGTTACACTTAAAAAGAAACTGCGCGACAAAAAATATATGTTAGAGATAGAATGAAATTTGCTCAGTGAAAAAAGTTCCTACTGTCACAAAGGCTGAGCAGGGAGGGGGGTGGGAGGGGGAGATATGAAACGAACGTCGAAGGAAGATATCGTGAGTGAGAAACGGACCAGAGAGCTATGAGAACAGCATAAGCGAAAGGGTGCCTCGAGAGAACTCGACCTTGGTATCTCACCTGTAAGGAGGTGAGGTTGGACGTACAGGACGGAAGGATTGGCGTTGCGGGGAGGGAAGGACACGTGGCGCTGTAGTAAGGGGGCAGGTAGAGATATTAAGCATACGTAGCCAATTCACATAGCTTAGGACTATTGACTGAAAAGGAATCTCGATTTGAGAGGAGTGGAAAGAGGAGAAAGAGAGAAAGAAAGGATGGAGAATGAACTTTTTGGATACATGACGAGAAGGCGGAGGAGAAGGAGGAGGAGAATGGCTATTGTGGGATTAAACAAAAAGCAGATTTTCCCTACAAAATTTATTTACTGTGTAAAATTGACTCGTGACCTGGCTCTCTCTTCTAACCACAGGTCGGTGTCAATATTTGGACCACCGCTATGATGAAGGACAAGTCATGGTTCCAGATGACAAATGCAACTATCAGTGCACCTGTTACGTGTCTGAATACTTTGTCGGATTTCTGTGCGAGCCATTGTGTCATAGATACATTGACTACGTTGACTGCATGCCAGGATATGAGATGAAAAGTCGCAGGGTACCTGCCGGGCCTTCAGAGTTTGGATGCGAGTGCAAAGTGTTAGAGTGTGTTCCATCCTTCGATATCGAGTCATTTCTCAACTCTCGAAAATTACAAGGGATGTAACTCTCTCATGTGCAAGAGTGTAATTTTGACATTGGTAAACCCTAAGCAACCGAAGAAAGAAACGTTTTTGTATCCCCATTTATCGATAAGGAACTAGTTATATCTAAAAAAAAAAAAAAACTAATGACTCCCCCCTATTGACAGTCATTTCTCTATGATCCCTCCTTTATACTCTGTTAGCGACGACTGATGCCCCCCACCGTTCCCCTCTGACAAACATGTAATCTCCCAACCCCCCCCCCCTTAGGGACCGAGTAGTGACTGGTTCCTTACCCAAAAGACTATCAACTTTCTCTATTTACTGTTTAGACGAGTGCTAAATGAATCTGTGTGAATCTGTGTGGAACAACAGTGTAAGCGTTAACGCCACTTTGACTTTTATTAAACGTTTTTGCTTCGTTTCTAGTTTCTATTTTTCTCAGGTTGCTTCTAGTTTATCTCTACAATCCACCCGGTGGTTCTACGTCACATTGCTCTGAAAAAAAAAAACCAGTGATAACAACGGCAAAGGTTAACCAATATTAAGAATTGATTAAATATATATTTCCAGTCATCCTCTGTTCAAGAAGAGTTATTTTTATAGTAAGTGCATGTACTCCTCTCGCCGATGAGAGGACAGACACACCCAGTGTGGAAAAAAGGTACTTATCTAGAGCACGGAGTTCAAAAGAAAATTACAGACTAATATAGTTGACGATATCTTAAGGTAGCTTGTTGTAGTTTAAACCTTCGCGTTGCTAGTATTTCATGAAATTTCTTGTAGAACTTGCAATGGAGTTGAGTATGAGTAAGGGTTCACTTTGCGATCAACTTTGACAAACGGTTCACACTATTATTATTGTCTCAAAAACGCTTAAAGTTGTACCTTTAACATGTTCACGTCGAACCCCTGGAATCGTCGTCTTCGTCTTACTCGCCTGTAGAGAATGTACATTAATCACTTTATCCTTTTATTTTCAGCAAAAATTATCAATAGCTATAAAGATAAATAATGATCTTATGAAGATTACCCGCGGTTTCTTTTTCTGTGTCACTTCTCCAGGGCCAAAGTCGATCATCTGTTTCGAGAAAAAACAAAGAAAATTTGAATAAGGGACGAAAGTAAAAAGCCATTTAACGATAAATTTTTGCAATTGTCGTGGTGAAGCTTTAAAAAACAATATCCGCAGATACCTTTTTTGTCATCCCTTTGCCATGGCCAAAACCGCTCATCTTATCATGTAGTAGGAAACAAAGAGAACATTAAAATAACACAATTTGGTATTGAACTAAAATGAAAGATACATCACTATTGCTACTGAACTCACCGTTGTAGACTAATTGAGAACAAACGCATATTCTTAGAAGTTTTGTATCAGCTTAATGATGTGTCAGGGTAGAATACGCTTAGCAAAAGGCAGCTACTGCTATAGGAACTGGTACAGAGTCGGTATTCACACTTTGACAAGTTTTCCCTTAAAATGTTTAATTTGTAAGCACGTCTCTCACCTTTTCTTGGTCCTCCTGTGACAATGAAACAAAATGGAAAGATGTTAATTATACATGCAAATGCAAAAAGGAAATTGAAAAACAACATAAGACAGAACTTTTCAAAAATATGAAACAATACTACTACTAACTCCCAAAACCGCTCATCTTATCATACAATGAGAAAAAGAAAAAAAAAACGTTGAAAAATCACAAAGCAGCTGCAAACTGAAACAAAAGATACATTTCTATTGCGCTACTGAACACTCCTTTCTAAGCTAATTGTAGATGATACATTTACCCGTTGCATCTTTTTTAGTTGCGTCTCTTTGCCATGGCCAAACTCTCTCATCTATTTTGCAAGAAAACATAGTGAGACTTCATGAACAGCTAATAACATGTAACACGTAATCAGGCGCTCGTTTATGCTTATAATGTCAAAACGTAAATTACCTCAAGAAGACAGCCATTGCAGTAACTCTTGAACCGTAGTATCGTCCACTGAAAACTACATCTGGAACCTTTACTAGTACTGATACATACCTTTTTTCGCATCATTTGAACCTTGCCATGGCCAAATTCGCTTATCTGTTACTAGTATAGAAATGAAAGAAAGTGTTGATAATAAATTATAAAGTAAGTGAGAAAGTATGCCATCCTCATCATCAGGAATAGCAGCAGCTACAATACTTATAAATACAATCACAATAAAGAATATACTACATCTCTGAAACCACAACGACAAAAACAAGACTACCGGCGGCATCTTTTTCAGTGTCACAAATAAAAGAAAACTTGAAGGAAGGACAAAGCGAAAAGGCAATTTAACGATAGCTGCGCAGAATTTTGTAAATGAAGCTTTCAAAAACAATATTCTAAGACACCTTGTTCGTCTTTGACGTCCCTTTGCCATGGCCATAAGCGTTCGTCTTGTCATGTAGTAGGAAACAAAGAGAACATTAAAATAACACAATTTGGTATTGAACTAAAATGAAAGATACATCACTATTGCTACTGAACTCACCGTTGTAGACTAATTGAGAACAAACGCATATTCTTAGAAGTTTTGTATCAGCTTAATGATGTGTCAGGGTAGAATACGCTTAGCAAAAGGCAGCTACTGCTATAGGAACTGGTACAGAGTCGGTATTCACACTTTGACAAGTTTTCCCTTAAAATGTTTAATTTTCTCGGCGGAGGATTCGGAATTATCATAATAAGAGTGAGTTTGAATGAGTTACTGTCGTCATTGCTCCAAGGCCATGATTTCTTGCCTTGACGATGTTTTACACGTTTCCTTAATGGACTTGTTATAAAATAAGATAAATTCATCCGACACCACTCATACCCTGTTTCTTTTCATCCGCTGACGAGGTGGCAAAAAGAGTGCCCATGCTTGCTATAGTTGAACGATACTCAAACATGGGAACAAAAATATTTCCACCGTGATATTTTTTACTGCACCATAATTTGAAGATTCCAACTGATGTCAGAACTTATGTCTTAAATTATATATTTGAATCTGTGATAAAGTTGTTGGACTTAAATTATCAAATATTCTTGTCATAAAATGTGCATGAAATTTCTCAAGTTGAAAAACAAAGGCCTGTGAGTGTTGCAAAAAATAAGGTAACCTTTATGTTGGTAAAAACATACCTAAAAAGATACAAAAAAAGATGAAATAGCAATTTAAAAAGTTACCATTAATATCTTTGCTCTCGGCTTTGTCTTCAAATTTTGCTTCATCAGCTGTATGAGAAAAACACATTTTGACCCTGTACCTCAGCTTTACACCCTCACATCAGTATTCACAGGCTCCATACTGTTCCCTTCTTTTTCTTATGGTATTGATATGGAGAACTTGTTCAACTATCAAGGGCTTCTTAATTTGGTTTATTCTCGTGACCCCAATGTTCGATTCGATCATGTTACTGTAAGGGGAAATTAGATGCCGGTCACCCCTTGGCGTTAAAGGGTTAACCTTGAGTTTTAAAGGTGAAGTCTTTACGTTTAACAACCAGTTGTTTCGGTCAGGTAATAAAGTAAAGGCAATTACGTCCGGTGTTCCTTATAATTTTTCTTTTCTTATATGCAACGCGAGATACAATGAAAAGAACAAAATCCGATATTTCTGTTTATAAAAACTGAATATTATTCCTTTTAAATCATAACGAAAGCCTTTTACATGAAATATCCGAACTCCACTGAATATATTATCGGCTCATCACTGAACTCACCAAGGACCATTGAAAACACCAAAAGAACGCAAGACACCATCAAAAGCAGGTTAAGTCTCATGTTTGCTTTCGTGACGTTTTCGATATCTCTGGGGAGAAAAGATTTGTCACACGTTTTATGTTTGAAACCCTGAGCGCGGTAATTATTTACTTCCGAGACTGCGAGAACGTTCCTTTTTTTCGTTTGCTGAGTCCATATAGAAAACTGTTTACTGGGACTTATATAAACGCATTAGATGTATATTTTTTGTAACCTCTATAACATTTCAAGTAAAACAATGGTCCTCGCAGATAAACTGCAAGAAGAAGCCCTAAAAAAGAAATCCAGGTTTCGACAGGATTTACATTATTCGAAATATTTCAAGAATGAAAATGTATTAAGAACAAGTTTAAAAGATACTTACCGAAATGGCAAATTCAGAGAGGGCTGCTCTCAAAGCCGTCCCACTCAAGGTATTACACGACTCACAATGATACCGATTTGTGCACACCTGCATTTAACCTGTGTATTCGACCGTGCTTCTTAGCTAAATTAGTTGCTCAAATATTGACTTTCTTGCCTAGTTTGTTGGCCAAAGATAATGGAAGTGTTTGCTGGGGAGGGAAACGCGAAATTTTGATTTTTCCGATTAAATTGCTTTTAACTAACACAACCACCCAGTTTTATACAGTTCTCCGACTGAAAATAAGCGGGAGAAGTATTCAAACAAAGTGATAAATATCTGGGAATGGGGCAACTCTTTGCGAGGTTTAGAAAACAAAACTAATGTTTGAAATCAATCAAATATATGCGCCTAATGGATTTGTGGCATTTTTTCTTCTTTCGGAAACACCGGAGTGAAGACAGTTGCTTGTTTAAAAACAAATATTTTTCTAGCACAAAAAAATTAGATATTGTCTAGCATGTGGCGTTTTGTTAAACAGGAAAATGGAACTCAGAAATCCGAAATTGCAAAATTTCTAAAATTACCTCGCGGAAATGACTGTTTTCTTAGCGCAAATATGAATTTTGAACAGAGAAAACCCACAAAATATATATTAAGATAATACCATCCTGTTAGGATAGGAAAATTTAAATGAATGGTTGGATCACAGGTTCGATGAATGGCAAACATTTTCACGCTGAGAAATTTTTGCTGTTCCACATCGAAAGCAAATTAAAGATGATTTTTATTCGTTTATTCTATTTTTATTAATTGTTTAAGAAGAAATCTTGCATTAGCCAGTTCAATAACGAAAACAAATGAAACGGGTAAATATTATTATAAGTTTCTACTTTGGCTTTTGTTTAATTGAGAACATTTGAAATACATCGATCACTTAAGTTGTCTTCGTTTCAGTTAAAAAGGCATGCATTTAGACTTATCAGCATGTATGTATTGTTATGTTTCTGCATGTGTGTCTCCTGGTTATCTTTGAAGCCTTGCAGTGCCTTTTCTCAATTAAATATATTGGTATCAAATCTTAAATCCTTAATCGAGTACCGATTGCGAAATCCTCAATATTTACCTGGGCGCAAGTACAAATTTAGACCCACAATAAAAGTGTCCACTTTTCTGCGCGTTTTATAATTAGTTTCCAAGTTATCACTAGCTGGTTTACTTTTCTCCTAGTTTGATTTGAAATTTTCCAATTTCTCGATCTGCTTTAAGACTTCCTCGTTTGGTTTCATTTCCGGCAATTGTGCATTCTGTCAGAATGATTAGTTTTACAAAAGAAAGGAGCAACGTAATGGTCAAATCTAAGTGTCTTCATTTATAAGAGACTCAAAAGTTGTTGTAAAACCCAACACTACTTCGGCTGTGTGTTAAAAGCACCGTAGCCTGGTCTTGCTTATGTTTATCTAAGCCTGGATAAGTAATTCTCTCGTATTTCCGTTCAATATCTCTGTGCAAATAGAGTTATTAACATGAGGGGTCATACCAGATAATTCTCAGGTGATAAAATGTTGCCACAAGATGAAAACAGGAAGTTACAGGGAAGACCTTGCTGGAAGAACAACTAAAACCATTAAAATTTAGTCTGTCTACAATTTGTGTTACCGTTGATTTTCAACCGGGATTCACTGACATACGACATATGTGAATCAGGTAGCGGTGGTATACTAAATGTCGCAATACACTATATTGACGGTTAATTCGGTACTGTATTTTTTAAATTTTTTTTATTAACGCTTGTGAAGCGTACAGGTGTTTCATGTGAGCACATTGCAATTAATTCATGCCCAGATTTAATAAATAGAAGGCAGACGGGGTTCGTGTTGAGAATTTGATTGTAAATTTTCAAAGAAACGCTCCTGTATTCAGAATGAAGTCATTGCTTGTAATATGAACTAATTTACGCCTCTTTTAATAAATAAATCTTTCCAAATATTGGATATTTTACGTCGGTTCATAATCATAAAAGACCGTTGGCCCCAAAAAATCAGGCCAGTTTTCATACGCATGATATATAAACGAGCGTAGAATTGCGCTCAAACGAGTGGGAAATAAATTTGCGTACAAAAGAAACTATGATCAAGAATTATAGGTGCTGACGGTAAATGAAGAGGCTTTTTTGGTTTCTTCTTGGTACACTGTAATGTGAAAATTATCTAAAAACCATGTTTAACGTCAGTTTAAACACCAAGAAGTTTTTAGATAAATTTGTGAATAAAGTTTATTTTGCAAAGGACGTATACAATGCAATTAGTCGATTGATCAATGCACATGAAACTTCTGAAAATGGAATATATAAGTACTTGTATTCTATCTAAGTAATGCAGCAACATGTTTCCTCAACTTTCTTCCTGTCGTCAATAATAAAAAGGTAAAAAGTATTAGTTTATGTCCTATATATCAATATATGTATGTCTTCAATGATATTTGATTAGAAAAATACACAACTTTTTTGCTGCTCATGAGAAATTTCTTGTTCAGACATCTTTTGTATCAAGATCAATGGTTGGCGTTTCTCAACTTCTTTTATAGAAGATGGAGGAAAACTTTCGCGACAAAAAGGAGAGAATGGTGACGATCAACAATAGTGTGAGAGTAAGACGGGACTTGTTTTACAATCAATTTTGAAGACTGACAATCATTTGGGATTTGCCAGGATTGATACCTGTAGCAGCGAAAGCATGAGTATTTCTGGCGAGAAGGGAATCGACAAAAAAAAATCAAATGTACAAGACTAAATATGAATTATAGCAGAATGATGATCAGATACCTTTGTTTGGCCACTGTCTACACATCTCACATGTTCAAGGCATCACGCGATCAATAACCTCTTCCCAAATAGTTTTGGTATCACGATCACTATAGGGAACTATAAAAACAACTGTGTTTTAGGGAATGAAGGGGGTAAGTTTCCAAAGAGAATGTGGTGCCGCGTCGGTTGGAGAGTATGATAAAGTAATATGGTACTATCAACTGAGTTGATAACGTAAATTGGCCACCGTTAAAAGTTTCAAAGCTGACTCTTCGAGTGTTAGGCCTTCGTCAGAACTGCGTTTTAGGGAAGTTGTGTAATCTCCTAGCACTATGATACTCAGGCAAACAAACAAAAAAGAAAAAAAACCAAACGAATGAATGAATAAACAGGTAAACAAATGTTTAATTTGAACATAAGTGAGTCAATAGATAGATTTGGATGGATAAACAACGAGATAGATATAAATGAATGCATCACAAAGTGTTACAAACCGGTTAAAGAAACAGTATTTATGGATGCAATGCATAACTGTTGTGGCCCTTACAACTTACTATTATCATGAAGAGCTCTCTCGACTGCTGTCTTCGCCTCCTGATCAATCTCTGACCACATGTCTCCTAGAAAGCGGATTTATACATTAAAAAAAGGATGTTCACCGGTGCTTGTTGTTTGTTAGGCGAGCAGGAAAGAGGGAAAAATCCAAGAAACCAACACGAATTGCAAACACCCTATCAAGACCTCGTTGCTGAGTTAGGACTTAATCCAAGGTACGTAATTTGGTATTATCAACTGCATTGGTAACGCAAATTTGCCACCGTAGAGATAAAGCGTTTCAAAGCTGATGTTTCGAGCGTGAGCCCTTCGTCAGAGAAAATGGACAACGAAGGGCTCACGCTCGAAACGTAAACTTCGAAACTCTGATCATACCAAATTACTTCGTTTATACTTTCCCACCGACGCAGCACCCCTTTTCTCTAAGGCCCTGTTTTATTGGAATCCGGTACCTAAATAAACACCCCCTCCCCCCACCCACAACCTCGACACGATTTTGCAGAAGGTCTATATGGAGTTTTGAGTTGTAACGACTGTCTCCTCAAGTAAAACAGTCTCTCTCCCTGCCGACTTACCCTGCCGACTTACCCTGCCGACTTACTCGCTCAAACGAGTTGTCTCGCCCCACGAGACAAGTTCGCGATTTTCGTGTAAACAGTCGAAAAAACGGTCGAATTTTTCTAGCAGAAATGAGGGGTAACTCAGCGAGGCCGTTAATCAGTTATATATTCATCACGATTTTCGACGATAAATATGATTTGTAAGCACGTCTCTCACCTTTTCTTGGTCCTCCTATGACAGTGAAACAAAATGGAAAGATGTTAATTATACATGCAAATGCAAAAAGGAAATTGAAAACAACATAAAAGCAAAGTTTTAAATTAAAAGACAGAACTTTTCAAAAATATGAAACAATACTACTACTAACTCCCAGTTCCACCACCAGGCAGCTCTCTTGTTCTGTATTTCTGCGCGACTGGAATTTTGATCAAAAATAGGAGATCATTATAAAAACGTTGGGTTATTAATCGTAACGAAGAGACTCGTTAATAAGGAAATGGCATTTATTTCCCAATGCAGTCATTTTTGGATGCCGAATCGAGAAGTTTTAATTGCAAACTGCCTGTCTAATTCGCACTGATTGCCTGAGGAAGATTAGGTAACGTTCAGTTAATGGGGCGGGGACATACGATAAAATTTTGACAAAATTTTGATCGCCCATAAGGCTCTACAATAACATTATGAACCCCCCCCTCCCCTCCCTCCTTCCTCCCTTCCCCCCTTACACTCTGTTGGCGACAAATGATCCCTCCTCTGTTTCCTTTGAAAATCATAAAACATGTGATCCTCGGCGATAAAAAATGAGTGGTCCCTAAGTTAGCAGCCTGAGTCGAAACTTGACGATCCACATCCAAAGCTTCATTTTTAGCAGGTGATAGTAGGTAAAAAACGTCGAAAAAGGGAACAATGCTATTTATTTCTTCTCGTGACAAATTCACCGTGAAAATAATAGCTGTGCACTTGGTCTGAACGCTTTTTGTTTGTTCAAGTCAGTCTTCTCATTCATTTCCAAACACCTCAATTTTAAGGAAGATGACTTTGTTGATGACAGCACAATATAGTTATTTGCGATTGGTTCGGGAATTATTTTGCCTTGGTTGGTCAAACTATGAGACATCAAAGTAAACAGAGTAAGGAAGTTGGAAAATTTGGACAAAAAAACGGTCACAGAACTTTTAACTTAAATGATTGTACCAAAACCTTCATGCTTCTTATACAAAGTGTATTTTAAAAGCCACCTGTTACGTCGCGAGTCTTCAGTTCACTCTGTGGTATGACGTCGATATCTGTCAAAAGAATATTATTAAACATTATTATTTTCTATCCTTCGAGTGAAGATTCGAATTTTTTATAGCCTTTTTCAGATGTTCAGTTAGTAACACGGCGCGATGGCTACGGCCGGGCAAAAACGAGGGGAGTTTGGGTCGGGTCACGTAAAGAACAATTTGCAACCCGACCTATACCTCTCTCGTTTTCTCACTCCTCCTCTACACTCGCGCTGTTTACCATCGCTCTTCGTTTATTCAATCAATCTATTTATCTCTATTTGTTTTACAAACACAACGCACCTCTTCTTCCTTTTCTTGGCCCACCTGCAAAAAAGAAGAGAAATTTTAAAAATTGGAGTTATTTGATTTCAGAACAAAAAACAACGACTACACCAATAATTTGAATACAAAAATGATTAAAAGTAATTTCTTACGCAAGCCATTTCCTCCATCAAACGGTCCTTTTTCAAATAAATGCATGTTTGGATCTAAAAAACATAAGGAAAAATTCAGAACGAGACTGTCATATTCTAGACAGCTAAACGCAGTTTACGAGTTGTATGACAAGAATTGCAATCCTGCTAATAATATGATTTTGATATTCGCTCAATGAGTAGAAAACAACAGGTGTGTCATTTACACTATGCATCTAAATTGCATGAATCATACACATTGTAGGAAAGCTATAAATTGTTTCAATTCTGTTTCAAATCGAATCGTGGTTAGTGAGAAATTTTTCATTTCCTGTAGGGCGTGGCATAGTAACCTTCAACGTCATTAGGCGTTAGTTCCCTCTGAGGTATTGATGCAACAGCAGCCTCTGCGGAAAGAAATTTTAACTCTTCGAGATTGTTGTTATGCAATAGCCTAAGGCTTGCCTCTATTATTCTAAGAAATTATAAACTGAATGAATGATGAATTTGTAACTTGTCAAGTATTGTTATGTACATAAGAACACAATCAAACCAATAGATCGGTACGTGATACGTAAGATGCAAACCTCTCTTCCCTCTCCGCAGCCGTACCGCAAAAATTAACGACATTAAAAACATTTTAGTATATTTTTTTATTCTTGAGACTCAAAATTCTATGACAGACAAATAACTGATCCCTCCTTTACCCAGCTGAGGTGAGTCCCATAAGTCTTTTAGGGTAGGAGCTTTCATGAGGGTACCCAAATCGTCTGCACTGTAAGTACATATCAAGCTCTGTAGGTGATTTAATCCCATTTTAATCCTATCCGATCTCACAATTTACGAAAACTTCATTATTCTTGTGAAAAATGATAGCCGTCTTATTGAAACTTGATGACAAGTATAAGCCGGCAAAGAAAACAGTGCAAAAGCAATTATCTGTCACATCGATGTCAGCAGCAACAGGATTATGACACCTTACAGTCCCCATACATTTTCTTAGACTAAAAGTCTAAGAAAATGTAGGGGACTCTCCGGGATACTTACAGTACAGACGATTTGCGTCCCCTCATGATTGGAACAGTAAATGTAAGAAGTGTCTCGAGTCATGCTTTTAATATTTTTTTTCTTTAAGCTTTACTACTAACTACCAAATATTTATTCCAATTGTTTTTTTGTTATTTTTTTCAAGTATTCTATGTTTATAACTCTCTTGACTGTAATTAGTGGATGAACTCTCTGAGCAATACTAAGCTCTTCACGTTTGTATCATAGTTTTTTTTGTATGTAACTGAAAAATTTGACTGTTATCAACTCAAATAGAGGTTCACTAAAGAGATTGGGGCAAATTTTAAATAATACATTCGGTATAACCCTAAAAACCTTACTCATTTTTACACGTTTTGAGTTTTTTTGTGATGATCATAATAAAGTTTAGATTTAGAATCGTTTAAAAGGAAAATAAATCGGTATATTCTTTAAAATTCGTGAATACACATACCTGCCAAGGAATTGGCGATGATCAGGATGATGCATGACGAAAATATCAGTGCCCTCATTGTTACAGGATAAACCTGTGAAACGAGACGATAATATAAGATCCTAGCATCTCAGGTAAACTATATCGATAGTATAAAAGCCGATGCTTATATATTGCAACAATACACTCATCAAACTTTGAACAACGAGTCAATATAAGTTAATGATCTTTCAGCGTATATGTATGTTTTCCTCGACCTTAAAAATGATGACTAATCCTGTAAAACAACTCGTTAGATTTGTTCGAATGTGCTAATTTTTCAAAGAGCATGTCTTTCAACTGTGCCTATAAAATGATTGATTTTCAAGAAAGAAAAAGGATCCACGGTCAAAACTTTATCTGTCTTTTGTTGAATATGTACGAACGTGATTCAGAAGTTCTGAAAATTTTATTGCGATAACCTGCCGTATCGGTTAAGAGGTAAAATATTGCGTTTATTCACTCACGAGATATGTGTTATTCGGAAATGTGCGCAACCACAAATTAAAGGCAATTGATTTACATAATTTCCAAGGATTTCTAGATCATACGTTCAAAGAGGCGTTTAAATTCAAACAGCTGCATAGTCGATTAACAGTTCTCTTAAAATACAAAAACAAGCAAAAGATATTCGCCTGTGTTTTTTTTCCGGAGTGTAAACTCTTAAACTTTCTTTCCACAGTTTCTTAGCATCATTTCGGGGAAGTAATGGTTAAGTATTACTGAGTGCCGAGTCTTTCAGCGTCATATGGAAAGCTGCATAAAGCAAACTGATTTTCAGACATATAGTTCTTTATTTTCCCTTGGTTTTTGATTTGTACGATAGCACCTCTTCCTCGCGATAGGTTTTGGGCATGTTGATTGATTTCCGTGTAATGTGTATTGTACCAACATTTTTTAATCCTCGGCTCTCAACTATTAAAAGTGACCAACATTAAGTTTCTCCTACAAAAATTCTATGCACTGTTCAGCAGAAAGCAGAGAGGTGAATGGTCGATTTTATCAGCTTGAAGCCGATTCTCTTGTTTATTCACTGAATTGAATAACGTTTTTCTTAAGGAAATGTCCAGCAACTTGAATGGAGAATTTTAATGACATCGTAAGAGTTGAACCGATGAGTCGAAACGTTTAAGTTATTTTCAACATTTTTTTAATATGTTAGAAAATTAAAACGTATCTCGACTACAAAATTTCATTGAAAAGATGGCCAACGAGTTTTTTTTTTCCCTTACTTTGACTGAAGAACTGGATTACTTCATCTATCCGTTGTTACTGTACCTAAGAATGAGTTAGTTATTACACTTGTAAAGTCAAAATTTACGGGGTACGATGCTTTTGGAATATCAGCGGAATAGTTATCAGAAACTGGTTTAACTAACTTGTGACCTTGAAGACTAATTCATAGTTATTTTAACAAAGTTCTGACTTGATAATTGACTCAAAAGCTGGATAACTACGCCCAGGCCGACTCACCTACTTCGGCCTAAACGAAACATCGTTGATAATGCATGTAAAGTCTGACTATGAATACTGTTAACTTCTCCTACCTTATCTTTGTGAGATGCGAAGCGGAGCGTCTCAAATGAACACTGCGACTACCACTCAATGAAAGGTCTTTCTTCATTTTAAATGTGACAACCTCTCTAATGTATCCTCAGGCGATTCCTGTTTAATCAAGGATATTAAGTTTTCTGGCTGCATTAAGGGAAAAGCCTTGTGTGTTTTATGAAAATTAAATAGTGGCAGATTAGCAGGAAATGAGGAATTATTCCAAGAACGGTTTTCTTGATGCTGCTTAATGGAAAGTCATATTGTCGGCTAAAAGGCCGGTCAAATAAATAGGATAGAATTCTTCTTAAGAAAAAAAAAATGCTTAAAAAGGGCCGACTCGCACCTATGACAGAGTAAGAATGAAACAGAACAAAAAAAAAACAAACAAAACAAACAAAAGCTGAGCAATGAAAAGAATATATTTTCCTATTTTCGTTTTTTACAAAAACATTTTCGATTACGAACTAAGACAAGATTTAAAAAAAAAAAATGGTTTCAATCCTGGTTTGCTAAGAAAGCGTAAGAGGCAAGCAGATGTCTTCAAATAAAGGAGCATCTTATAAATTGAATTCACGGCTAATGTCTCTGCTGCATCGAATATTATCAAAAATTGTAAAAAGATTATTATAAAGTCAAATATTTCAAAAGGCGCAGATATGAATATGTCCTAATTAACAGTAAGATGGCTATTTGTGATAGCTTAAAATCAGAATAAGTTTTGAAAATATACCTTTCATATTATTGAAAGCTCAAGTTAAATTTGCAATAGCTTGGGAGTTTTTACAAATTTTGGTAAATGAGTTATTCAGCCAAAAGATATTACTTTTTATTTTCACACCATTTTTGAAAAAAAAATTATATTTTGGTTTCCCCTTGACCTTGAAAACCTTATAAATGATCACGGCTGTATTCTTTAGAAGAGTGATATTGGCTGCCCGTGGATTTATATTTTCTCGGTTTGTTCAGTAAGTTATAACATTTAGAATAGTGTCGTAGTTTGTTAAGTTTGGAAGAGAAAACATTTTTTAACATATATACAATATTTTTCTCCATTCATTGAATCCTATTAAAATTATACTGATTTTTATGTTCATCTGCTATTCACGTATTTTGAAAAAAAAAACGTATACAAGCCCGGTGTTCAAAAAACTCAAGTCAAGCTGCTAATTAAAAAAAAAAAGAGAATAAAAATAAACCAAAACTCTCATCATCCTCGTTTCGATTGTATCAGAAAAAAAATGGTTACAACATGGCAAGTCTATCTCACCATTTTCAAGCCAAAACTTGAAATAAGAATTTCTTTCACTTCGAAGTGGATCACATACACCCGCCCTTACAGCTGGCCCCGGTTGTGTAAATGGCGGATAATACTATCCACCGGATAAATCTCTTCCTTTAGTAGATAACGCTGTGCGTTTTGCTAAAAGTTATCCGCTGGATAGCGATTTATCCGTTAGATATCGTTATCGCCTTTTGAACAACTAGGCACTAGAGTATTGAAATAAGAAGAAGTAAGAACTTCTAAAAACCCCGAAGCATTTGAGAGGTTTGCTTTTATCACGCGTTTTCCGAGAGAAAAATTTCAAATTTACCCAATTTGCACGGAATCGAACTTTTCACGCATGGGATATTCAAATGTAACATGTAAAGACAATAAACAAGCATTTTTTTTCTGCATCAGCAAATCATCATTTATTTCTTGCAAGTAGCTAAATCTTCTACGTTTCTTTAATCTGTTCTTCTTCATTCCTGGCAAAGGTGGCCTAACGCCTGCAGACAGATCAACAGACACACGTCATTAGAATGATTATGACGAGAAAAAACCTCAGTCATGGGCGGAAATAAATGGAACTTTTTATAGCTTGCCAACTGTTTATTCCTTGTTTGGCAAGGACTATTAGATTAAACTTATTGAGCAGATCGGCTGGGAAGGGTGCAAAAGATTTCAAGAAGCTTCGCTCGCACACACAAATGAAATAAACTATAAAAACGTTTGCAACAACAATGAAAACAAACAAATGATAAAACGAAATAATTTGTTTGTTTGTTGTTTGTTGTTTGTTTGTTTTCTTCCAAGAAAAATTAATGAAACATTGGGAACCGAAATTCCGGTAGCTTGAATCTAATGTATCACTTTCAATTCTGACCCTTTTACCTCTAAAAGTGACTGACATCTAATTTTTCCTTAAATATCACTTCCTAATCACACATTAAGGTCACGAGAGTAAAGGAAGTGATCACCATCTAGAGAAACTCTTACTTGTTAATCAAATTCTCCTTGTCAACAAAATAGGAAATGTATAGAGAACAATAGGGAGAGAATACAAATTGTTTTTGGGGAGTAAAGGTCTAAAGGGGAAAAAAAACAGAATCAAGTGGAAGCTCGGTTGATATTCCGCCCAAACTAAACCCCAACTTTTAGTAAGCCCATTCATATTTAAGACACGGATTGGCCCGTTGCTTTACGCTACTGCCGCCAAACGCGCGCTTAAGTTCGCGTCACATGGAACTATGAGCAGCTCATGTTTTCTTGGCAATGGTCCATAAAACGCCTCAGTTCACGAGGATTTTAGACTCACCCGCCTATTGCATCTAATGCATTTGAAGATTTTTGGATAACCTGATTGAGAATTGTTTTCTCTGGAAAAAAAGAAAGAAAAAATAATGTTATTCTGAAAACCGTCGTTCTTTGCTTAGTTTATACCATCGACAAAAACCATAGAGATAGGGAAAAATTCTTGTCCCTAGTATTGACTGGTCATCTTTCCTTTTGAATTTGAGTTGTTTTCTAGCTTTTGATTGATGTTTCTTACCATCAGAGGTAGAAAATCTGCTAAAAAAAATAACTGGCAAACTACGAATTGAATCAATTTAATCAAAGCTGTTCACTTCTTACGTACCGGCGACTTCATCTGGAGTTTTTTCAGCCATAGATGGTGCTGAGTTCACAGGAGAAGATGCTGCAGGTGGCGGAGGAGCAGGGGCAGAGGAAGCTGGTCTTCTTCTAGATCCACTCCCTTTTCCCATGGAATTTACAGAATGACAGAAAGTTAAAAATTGACAGAATGCTCGGAATTTGCTGATAAATGGAGTGCATACATGATAAACCAGAATCACACACGCGTAAACCAATTGCGGCGTTTTCGACGACCGCGTTCGCACTTGAGGCTGTCAACTCCCCATTTCACTCTCTTTCGTTTTAAACATTTTCTCAATGAAATTAATTTTAGATGTTTCTTTGCTTAAAACTGAGAAAAAAAGAGGAAATACTATTGTTTAACAAATCTGAGCCCGTTTGGATCAAATGAATTTTTAGAAAAGAAAGAAAAATGAAAGCTTTATTGCTTCGATGTAGACTAAAGAATGTGGTGTTTAGATCTCCTGCCTACTAACAAATTAGCACTAAAAGCAATTGTAGTTTTTAATTAAAATTGTAAAGATCTTACTTCTGAAGAGCCATGCCTCTCCAGCTGTGAAAATAGAGCATGAAAAAAATATTACGGCCAGGAAAAGAAACTGCATACATTATGATAATGATAGAATTAATAATAACCATGCTTATAAAAAAGTTGTAGTGATAATGATGATGATTACAATAATTATTATGTTACTAAGATGATACCAGCAGTTACTTTCTGAATTTAATTTCAACGTCATTCATCTTGAGATGAGAGGAATGCGAAACAATATAATAAAACGTTATTGCGAAAGGCTAGCTGAAACATACTAAAAGGTGGAGTCTTATCGTGATTTGTCTTCTGCCTGACTCTGAATTTAATCTGAAATCTATTCTAGTTCGCTTTCCCCTAAATAAGACCTAGGCCCATCATAAATATGATTACTTACACATTTCTATCAAAACTCTTGATTATCGTATTAGGGAAGGGAGATGGGTTTAAAATTCGGACGTCTCTAGCCTGGGTGTAGATAGCAAACCTCTTTAGGTCTTCGTTTATTGGTAGATGTTTTTGTACTTTGTCATAAACACAAGGCCTATAAGACCCTATGGCGTTTGAAGATCTAATCGACGAAGATAAGTAACTTTAAACACTTTTAGACCAAAATTTCTAAAACTCAGAGTCATAGATTTTACTTACAAACCTGGAAAGGCAGCTATGATTAGCAAAGCCAGAGTAGTTAGGATTCTCAGTTGCATGATATGCACTTAGCAATGTTCTACACAATGAGATAACATAAGATTGAGAAACACATCACAAAATTGTTTGTCATGATCGATCACGTTTGGAATTTTTTGCATCTAGGGGGACTGAAAAAAGGTGATATTCGTATGTTAGAGGAGTAAAAAACAGTTAGATATTCAAGTCTTCATAAACGGTTAGACTTTCTGATTTTGCGCGCTCTGTCAACCGAGCTATTGAAGACTTTTTTGTGAAATGGGCCAGTTATTAGATTCATTTTTCTCAAATATCCCGCGCACAATTACAAGGATCAGCAACGAAGAAGTTTTTGAACGAAGAAGAGTCTGCGGAAGTCAAGGGGAAAAGAATTCTATGACATCAATTGATTCTTTTCATAAAAAAAAATTGTTGAAAATCCCAGACCAGAAATTTAATTTCTGTATTAGTTAATTTTTAAGTACAAACATGCTAGTACAATGATGTAATATGGGATGTTGTCTCCTCCTTCACTTACGAAGAAAGCCTCGATATACAGTACCCTATGACTGGATTACAAGACATAAGCTCTCTTTGCGCATTTTACATTGAAAGCAGCTTTTCCCCAATAATTTTACTTTCAATTTAATTCGAGTTAAAAATACATATGAATTGAAAAACCTCAACCAAGGAAAACATTTAACAGACTTGAATTTGTGCAGTGAGAGAACTCACCTTTTTGAATTTCAACCTTCAGTTTTCCAGTTCCGTGTGATGACTGAGCGGGTGGTGCAACGGGGATAGAGTAACGGAGAAATCTTAGATTGTATAAACCAAGCTTTTCAAAAATTTCAGTGACCACACGCATAGCGAATTATAAATGAACATTGCAGTGTCCAGTACAAACTCTCATTTCGGAGACTCGCACTGAGTCCAAAGTCTTGAATTCGAATGAAAAACTTGTACAATAGAGGTATTGCATCCCCTGCATCAAGATTGAGGCTGGAAAATTGGAATTTAACACTTATTCAATTAAACCAAAACCAACACGTTATGCGTTTTGGGTCCTGTGACTTTTCGCTGTAGGAATGATGACAAGTTCGATCAACGCATAGCAGACCAAACTATGTCACACAGTTTGATTAATTAGCGCTGACAAAGTGATCGCGAAATCTGCAAAGCTAGCCATAAAAGATAAGTCTTTTTTTCGATTTTTTTTTCTTTGGCAAATCTATTATACCAGATATTTGTGGGACTAGGCTAGATAAACATTTCTTCTTTGAATGGTTCGCCATTGTCAGTCGTGTTTTAGGGGGTAGATATTTTGGACGTTGGATCGATTTGCTCTTTCACGTTCGAAATTACCTCGCTTCACTCGGAAATAAACATAGTCTTTGAATAGACCAACAGAACTCGCTAAGAATATCAATCATCGATTTAGTAGTTAAGGTGCCAGGTGATTAGCGTAGTGCATTTTAGCCAATGATAAAATCAGAATCGAGCTAGGACAAGAAGAAAAGTGTTTGATTATCCAAGCATCCCAGGAAGGTGAACAACAAACCATCCAAATCTTTCGTTGCAATGTCTTCAATACTATTTCGAGGAGGTTTAATTCCTGCCTTCATTAATATTCCTTTCCAAGGCTGGTCATATATCATTTCAACTCTAATAGATGAACATAGATATCATACTCAAGCCTGATTCCTTTCTCTCTTTATTCAGTTATCTTTTCCAAGAGTCCCCTATCACTAGGTTTTTTTTTCCCTGTTCTAACAGGCATAACATCAATACTGGAAGCATTTTGCAGCTGCTAATTCCGGACTGGAACACATCTTTTGAGTTCACAGTGGCAACCTCCTCCCATTGGCTCGACTCCATACGTTTCCAGCTTTTGCCCTAGAGGGCAACGCATTAACGGGCAGAGAGGTTTGCACGCAATTCCACCGCCTGTATTACATTTGCATTTTTCACAAGATTCAGTTGTAAACCATTCGTTGAGGGGATGGTCGTTGCAATCCGGGAATTGTGCGGCTGTGTACCCATAAAAAGGAAGTGCATCTTGTGTCAGTGTGATAATTGTTAATTTGTCGTGAGGGTAGCGAAGAGCAGATAAACTTTTCGATACATGTATTTGGATTTTCAATTCAGAGAAAAATTAAAGATCTAGTGGTTAACATGGTAATTTTTTTTTCTTAATATTACCGATGAGTTCAGATAAATTTTTCCAATCAAAACAGCTGACCCTCTGATCAGCGTATTGCAATCTTTGAGGTCAGTTAGGAGTCCATATTTTCTCGAGAAATCTCATATCTTCGTTTAAATCTTATTTAGAAGCATGTACCCCCAATTATGAACTTCTTTCATCTTTTCTTTTCAACTAAGAATTTTATTTTCTTGGCTGAAATAACACCTGGCTCTCTTAAACTTCTTAGGCCGGATCGCTAAAATAAAATTCAGTTTTGAAAAGGCTCTGACATAACTTTCCCTTTGTGCGTATCATAATTAGCAATTTTCATCCAGCTTCCCTTTTGAGAAGAATCTATTACTTTCGAAGATACCAACCTGCTGAAATGATCATGGCCACCAAAATAAAAACAGTCTTGGGGACTTCCATCTTGGTTTCTGCCGCTGAATAGAAATGAAACAAAAGAAAAACATGTCCAATGAGATACAATTTATCTTCACATTGCCTCAACTCTGCTCGGTTTGGTGACTCACCTTCAAATTCTATCTAACAACAGTTTAAGCCCTTTGAGTGATGAAAGCCTCCAGAATTAAAAAGTCCAAAGAAATATAAAAAAAGGTTATAATTATAAAGTCTCGTTAACAATAAAAACGAAACATAACGCATAACACATCGAAGCTTTAAACAGATGGGTAAATGAGTAATAAGGGTTTCGCATACTTACCTCCCACAAAATATTACAACTTTACTTTTTTGATTTCTGATGTTTGCTGAGGCAAAAGACAAAATGGGAATAGAGCTTATTGATATCCTGTACCTTATTTCGTAAGCAATACAATTTTATCCAACTGTTATCATTGTATCCAAATTTGCAAGTTTAGATTGGATGACCCCACGTAAAGGAGGCACTTAGCGACACATGATTCTCGCAATGAAATTTGTTTAGCCATGTATAGTAAGTAATTGTTACAATTCAAGTTGTTACCATTTAGTGTACAAAATTTCTATCACGAACCCATCGAAATTTTAATACCAAGGATAAAAAAATATATAATTGGCAGAGATAATTGCCTATCGAAAAATACTGAACGAATTCTCATCATGCATGCAGTAATGTCCGAGGTTCAGGATGATCAAGACTCCAATTTGATTATTGATGTCAATATTGAATCAAGGCAAGATTTCATAAAATTTTAAATGGATTATAGATCGATCTCTTGATGGCAGTATGAAAATTTCAATTGTCCTCTCAAAAGTTTCAAGAAATGGATAGTAAAAAATATTATACCATCTATAGAATCTACCATGTAAAGCAGCCGGCCTTCGGTTAAAAAACACACCGCAAACAGAGGAAAAATCTTTTGAATTCTGTAAAAAATTGATGCAAATAAGTTTTGTCTTATTTGACTTCGGTTGCCTTTCTCTATCCCGGGGAAACCTGAAGTTTTCATTTGAACTTGTAAACCCAAGAGGTTGATTTATTTAATTTAAAATGTATTTCTTGTTATGTTTTCGGAATTACTGAAGAATTCCGAGCCTTAGGAATCTTCGAATTCAAGCTGTGATTCAAGAATTACTTGAACAAAATTGGCGGGATCCCACTGAGGTGGGGTAAGGTCGTCAACAGGGTATAATTATTTCGAAAGCCAAGTGTAAAATTCTAATTGAATGTACAAACTTACAAATTGAATAATACCTAAGAGCTAATGATAGTAATATCTAAAACATTAAAAAACTATAAACATCTCGTTGAAATCATATTGTTAAAAGTCAATAATTTAAACAGTATTCACTAGGGCGCATGAAGCCATATTAAAACTATTCTTAAATCTGTTTGTTTTACAGCGCGGTATGCTGAAGGATCGTGCGTGCCCAAGATTGTACTTGCTCTCATGTAGGAGCGGCAGTAATTTCCTGAGTTTATGGCCGCTGTCATTGAAAATACTTTCAAACGTACGCTTGCAAATATCACTGTAATGCTCCGCTACGGACGGTAGGTTCGTTAGAACTAACGCGTGCTGATATTCCATGCCAGGTCAGATGATTCGCATAGCCCTTTTCTGAACGCGCCCTAGTTCTTGCATTAATTAGGCAGGCAGAGCATAATGAAACACAGGTACAGCATAATCGATAACGGAGCGCACACATGTGATGTAGAAAAGACAAAGATCTTTCTGAGAAACGCGAGCTCTTTAAGCTGGATGAGAAAATAGAGCCTCTTAGCTGCCCTTTTCAAGATAGGTCACTTGAAATATTTACGCCTAAGAGTTTAGCATCGGTAACAACCTTTATGCATCTCCCCCGATGACAGGAGGGAAATCATGACTTACTGAAGCAAAAGAAATGCGAAGTTTCTTACATTTGTCAACATTTAGTTTGACTCTATTTCTGTTGGACCAGTCCGTTACCTCATCTGCTATAGTTTGCGCGTTGCTCACCTGTCCTTTCCTAATTTCTTCAGATGTCGTTGTGTCGTCTACGTATTTCCAAAGTGATGCATTACTAATTGCTAGGTCATTAATCATGATTAAAAACAATCATGGACCAAGTTTGGTCCCTTAAGGCACGCCTGAAGGAACTGCGCCCCATTCTGATACAGCTTTCAGAGAGTTTGATTTTCTGCGAGCGGCCTGAAAGGAAATCTATGATCCAATTAGTAACGCTAGGTGGAATTTTCTCACTAAAATGCTATAATCTATTAAGTCAAAAGCTTTCTTGTAATCAAATAAGAGGGTTCTTATAGTTGATCCGTTTCCATTAGTCCCTCAGTGTAGGAGTATAAATAAAGAAATAATAACTAGAAATTCACTTTGAAAGCGGGTACAGGTGATTAGAAAAGGGCGGCCGGGGTTACGTAAAAATTCACATTAGTTCAAGAATTCCAAAATACTTTTGTTTTATAACCGGTGCGGGGGTTTTTTGTCGGGGGAAAATTTGGCCATTCTCTGGGCAGTAATTAAACTGATATGTTACTACATAGGTGTTAATGCCTCACAAGGGGTTACTCGTAGAAGTTGAAAACAGTCTAAGGACAACGTTATCAGATTGCTTCTGAATTTTTTGAAGCAGCAAAAAGTTTATTTAACAAAGGGTTATTTGGGGTCAATGTTTATATTTATCAACGTATTCTATGGGATTCCTTGACGATTATTCGTAATCTTCCTTAGGGGTTTACTTAAGAGTGTTAGGTTTGCATTCTTTATCTTACCCTTCCCATATCAACTTATGGTCACGTACTGTTGTGAGAGATACGGATAATTATAACAATACTAAAATAAAGCGTTTGCTGGGTGTTTCTTTGATAAGACCAGATACTAACTCCACTGTTATATTGCAACCTGGAAATTAGGCAGTGTTCTGTCGCATTTTGTAATAAGTACGACGATTAACACAAAGTGAGATATAATAGCAAGTATTAATTTAGTCTTTTGGACGAACATTAGTTCGGGGAACAATTAGTCTTGCTTCAATTTGAACAGTGAGAACGGTAGAAATAGCCTGTATTAGTTTAGTTGGTCCTGTAGGATATTTTTCAAGTGGCCTACCTACGTATGAAAAGACTTTGGTTTATTTTAGGCTTTGAGAAATTCACACTTAATATCTGTTAGTCTCGACATGTCGTATATTGATGAATTTCCTGACCTCATTAAAATTTGGATCCTATCCTTACCTTTGGCACTTTTGCAAATGCCTTTGTTCCAGCGTTTTTGTCTCCAGGATGCATGTTTGCACATTTATACTACTCTAAACTCAACTTTCATACAAATTTAGGGAAAACTGTTGACTTATACATTGTCTGGTTGCTTTCTGACCAAGGCACCTTTTTTCTTTTTGTATGATCTTTTCAAAGAAAAGTGTATTTTTGAGTTACAAACAACCTTCTTTCAGTCGAGACAGTCCACCCAGCTGAAAACACCTTCCTATTCATAACAAATATGCTTAATGCAGCAAGGAAAATTATAATTGTCTGACTTCTTCACCTTAAATAAGAGTAAGTATTTGTTGTTAAAGAGTTGTAACAGTTGTAACACAGTCACAGGAGCGGGTCGCAAAGGGTCCATACGTGACGCGGCTTGATTAAACCCAAAACTACTCCGAGACGTGTGAACTTTACAGAAAGGCAAGGTATGGTGAGGTTTGAAGTTTTCCCCATTAAATTTATTACGCATAAGATTCTGTTTAAAATCCATGTGACGTGAGAGTAGTAAAGAGCGCAACGCTTTAAAGTCGTTGGTGTGCTGTTAGAGAGAAATAATCCCCAATTATGAAGACAACTGAAGTCTGTTTGGTTACAGATATCTGGACGTGGAGGACACACCCTTCACCGGAGTTTCTTAACCCATAATTCTTATTTCCCAAACCTCTTTCATTTAAAAATGAATATGCGAATAGAATTGATCTAAAGATCACCCTTCGTGAGGAAGAATGGTCACGCGCGTATCAGGCTCAATGCAAACCATTTGATGTAAAAAATTGAACTTTAACGTGATTCTCGATTGTTTAAGCTTCCAGCGAAATGATTTCACCATCAGCTACAAAAAAATGATAGATTAATCTACAGCGTAAACAACCACGGAAAGGAATTAATTATTCAATAAATCATGAGGAATTTTTGTATGGAATAAGCTAGGCTACAAGTTATTTACAAGAAGTACGTTAAGATTAGATTGTTATCTGACATGTTGACGTGCACGTCGACTCCTTTAATGTTTAGATTGGTCTTTATCTCCAAAAACCACAATATGGATCGGTGTCCTGCTGGATATTTTTAACAAATGAGATTAACGTTAAGGCGATTAAAATGCTAAATGAGTAGATAAAATACAAACTAAAACAAAACTGAAAGACGATATACTTAGGAGAGTGATATGCCGAATGCACACATTTAATTTTGCCTCGGAAATAATGTTTGACGCCAACTGATGGGACAGGCCAGATAAGAGATGAACACCGTGCTTTGCTTGTGAAAAAAAATTTTGTTAGTATTTATGATTAAATGTACATACCACAATCCAGATCACGGCTGGCAGAATCTTAAGTAAATAAGCAGCAATAACTTGAATTTTTATTTTCAATCGATTCGTTCAGACAACCAGAAATTGCTATTGCAAATACGTGATATCATAGTTATATTAAGTTTATTTGCTGATTGGCCTGTATAAGACCAAAATGTTCCATCAGAGGTAAAGTAAACTAGCTAAAAATTTCAGGCGCTCAGGACGTGTATAGTTCACAGCTATCAAGTTTTTCGGTCACATTTATTTAAATCGTTGTTGCTGGAAACATTTTTTAAAGATTTTTACGTTGATGTATCGAATGTACAGAATTGTAGAGAGCGTTATTGTTTATTTTCTGCAATGTGGCGTCAAGAGTTATTCCACATTCAGTTATTAATTTAAATCTCGTATAACCGCATACTTGGCTGGTGGAATTAAAGACAGTTTTAGAACAAAATTTATATAAAAGTGAATGTAATACTAAGATATCAACCATAGAAAAAGTTATGGAAAGGTGAATTGGTGTCTCCAGAGACATTTGAGACTGAAGCCAGAAAATATGGCTAAGTACCTTTCAGAAACATTTTGAAATATAATACAAAGCAGATGGTAACACAGTTGTTGGAGGTCAGTTATTCGAGGTCACCATTAATTTAAATAATTTAAAGGTGATGAGACCAAGATGCGTATGAAATAATCCAATTCGCCACGTGCTGTGGTTATTATTTGTGTTTCTGACCACCGTCTAGAAAAGATAACTTGGTGGTCGGGAAGATTCTCCAAAAATTGCAGACGTTTCAGTCCTTATCGATCTGCGAGGCTCTTGCATCAAAAACTGACACTTTAAAAGGAAAGATGATGGATGCGTTACTGCGATTCTTCGAGTCCCTACGTTTCCTACAGACATAATTTTCTCGTTTATCAAAGCTGTCAAATCCTCAGTTTCCCCATTAAGCCATCGACTTAAAATCAAAAATCTGCTAAACGGTTACACCCACAGCTATTTAAGAATTTAAAGGGCGAAACAGGAAATTCCTTTTCATGTTACTGAGCACAAAAAAACGAATGCCTAGCCTTCAGTCGGTAGTTTTCCTGCGAATTCACCCCATCGTAATAACAGATTCCTTTGCGGGAATCGCCCGGCGTTTGTTGATTCAACCAAATTAAGGTAAACAGCGGTCTATTTTGGTTTTAAATAGATTTTGTCATGTACCTAGTGTTAATTTTGTTTATAGATAAACTTTCTCTAGTGTAAGCTTATCTCTGTCGAAATCTTTCAAGACTGTTGGAAGACTCTATGGGAGAGTCGCTGCCTTCACCCAAAGGCGAAATTTGAAATCATCAGAGTGTTGAAAACAAAGTAAGGACGATGAGTAAAATATCTCGCCATGCAGCTCAAATTTATTTTCTTCTTTCACAGAAGACCAATCAATGCATTTATATGGGTTGTGTCGAAAATCTCATGTGCAAAACTACTTTACTTTACGTTATAAATGATAAGACGCCTGCATCAAATTCCATTGCGGAGGCGTCAATTTGAACAGCGCATCTGTTGTGTTACAGGGGCATAAAAGTTCAGGCAGAATCTCGCAGTTTTCGACACTCAGCACACCTCAGTCGAAGGATGATGGCTGCCGCATTCTTTCTTGGTCTGATCCTCGCTTTGTTACAATCGATCGTATATGCCAGAGTACCTCCTTCTTTTCTTCATAACAATGGCCAAGGTACGTTTATCATTTTGATAGTGCATTTCCGTCAAACGCAGGTTTTGAAAAATCTCAAGTCCCTGCTATGCGCAAATGATTATTCGTGTTCGTTTGACGGTCTTTTTCCATTCCTGTCCTCTTGCCGCTCTGAATAACAGCTGGTAAGTAATTAGTGTCGATAAAGCTCAAGAACCTCTTCCAATGTAGCAATTTTTCCCCATTTTGTACAGCGTAAAGTTCCACTCTCTTTTGAACATCATAATTTCACTCGTCAATCTAATAACAACTGCGTAGGTATGTTTTACTCTGTTGTTAAATCCCAAAGGCTAATACGGATTAGTTTGAAATCGCGAAAAAAGATTTTCATGTGTATCTCCCAGCAATAAATTGAATCATTTCTTAAATAACCTCTTAGGGAAGGAAATTTCAGTCAAAACTACTTTAAAAGATGAGTTAACACTCTTGTCGAAATTGTTATGCAGTAAACAGACAGAGAGTGAATCAAGGAACTTTCTAAAGGCATTCGAGATTGAAACAGATTTCATGACGTAGGAGGTCGGTAATTGACTCAGAAGTTGGCTTTCCTTCTTTAGTTGCATACAAGTGGTTCAATTATTATTAAATGATCTTCACTTTTGGCAAAAGACGGCTTAAATTCACAAAAATTACATATAGACACGATCCCTCGCCATCACGCATAAAACTGTGATAATGATAGTCTGACTTGATGACATAATAGATGACACAGCCTCTTTAAAAAATGTACATGATAACAAGGGTGTGGTTGGGAAAATATGCCACTTGGGTGTGTGTTGTCATAATTCAAAATCTCTGGTAAGACTTTTATCAGTCTCGTCTTTGGTGTCGTTTAATCTTTAAGGACCGTATTTATATCCGTTTATCCGATTTTAATTTCGTGTCAAATTCCCCCAAGAAGCGTGACTCTTTACTGGTAATGTCATTCGTTGAAATGACAAAATTAACGTCTGATTCCCTTACCCTTCCCATGGTTCAGCTGAGTACAAAATTTAACACACACAAAAAAAGACTCATTTTCTGTAATTAAGGACAATTTCTTTCAGCATTCTGCACAAACGACTGAAAGTAGACGTCAGCTCATGCTTTGTCGTCTCCCGTTCTTCATAGAGGTGATGCTTGACCCGGACTCTAGTATCATGAAGCAATTTGACATAGGACAGTGTAGGAGTACATCTAGTAAACTTACGAACTGATTGACTTGTATAAATATACATATGAATACGCCTGCCGGAAACCGGGAAATGTCCGAGTTTTTGTGGCAGTAGACATCTGAAGAATCGCTACTCATTCTCAATGGGATGATATGGGATTATTCGATAGCAGTCCAGCACAGGTTATTCATCAGAGTTTAGTCAAGTCTTCCTGTAAGTTTGCTGGAGTAAATTTACTTTATACTCCCGCATGCAGAGAAGCAGTGTTCTTTGCCTGAGAACACAAAATCGCACCGCCTTAAAACCTCCAACCCAACCTTTCATTCAGCGTGCCGCCTGGTAATTAAAAAAGCCACCTTGCCTTCCAATCAAAACAGTTAACTGATTTCTAGGACAGCTTTTCGAGAATCAAAATTTATACTTTGTGTACCGTTTATGACATCTCTCTTGATAGAAAAGCCGTGCTTCCACGGAGACTCCATATACGACCCGTGGGAACGCTTTGCTGATGAATCCTGCACTGGATGGTGCAGCTGTAACGGCCGAACTGGAAATGTGGGATGTGTTTCCTTGTGTCCCCCCCGTGGCCCTCCCACGTGTTCTTTAGGGGAACTCCCTGAAGAGACAGAGGAGCCATCTGTGGATCCAACGGGAAGGTGCAAGTGCAAACGGAAGTCTTGCTCTCCGAGACTTAACCTCCCTCCTCCCCCGCCTCCAGTAAAAATACCTGAAGAACATGGTGAGCTCCTTGGTTATTTTGTACGGTAAAAAAAACATCTTTGAGCAGTCGGTTGCATGTGTTACGCTTCTCTTTTCACTTCACTTTTCCGCCTTATAAGATTTACATATAAAATAAAGCAGTTTGATGATAGATAGGCTATTAGGTTTATGGTGTGTAGTATTTCCAAGTATATTTACTCGTTGTTTGTACAACTCGCAGAAATACTCAGCGATACTACACACCAAAACGTCTAATAAGTTATGTGTATTGCATATTATGATGGTTGAGCGGGTGAGCCAAAGATACAAAAACCCAAAGAGGCGAAGATAATCAAACAGGGAGCAGGGATGGCTGAAGACGGAAAGTTTTAGCATCGATTGAAATTCATTGTCAAAAATAACAAAAGTAGGCGCGTTTTTTTACATATAGTGACGCGTCTAACTTGAAGCTAATGAATGATGTGTCTCTTCAGTTCTTCCAGAGTGTAAAAACCGTACCCCAAGAGAATGGTTCATCAACGATTCTTGTACAGGAAGATGTAAGTGCCAATATGGCGGCATTACTTGTGTTTCACTTTGCTCGCCAATGGTAGTTAAATGCCCGTCGGATATGGAGGAGGAGTCTTACGATTATCCAATGGATGACAGAGGAAAATGCAGCTGTAAGCGCAAGAGATGCGTGCCAAAAGTTGGAGCATGGTAAGGGGCATAAAAAGACGGTCTCGATAAGGTGGTGACTTTAACGGCTAACGGTTAAAATGTTGGACATTTACGGCTGACTGTTATGGTAAAAGAGAAATTTTTTTCGATTAACTTTCTTTACGACTAATGGTGAACATTTATCGCTGGCCTCTCAGAATCCCTACTTCATTATAGCCTACTCACTGGCCAGTTAAAGACTCAATCTTAGTCACTTTTGGGCGGATGTTTCGGCAGACTTTGCTCTGGACCCGGGTGTTCTGGATTATTGCGCAACTGGTCAATATTGAAGTGGTGATTGCTAGAATAGAATTTAATGCAAGCCGATTGATATGTATATTAAAACAACAGAACAAAGTACAGCTACAACTGCGAATCTTTCAATTTTTAATCACTTCTTAATTACCAGAATTTTCCTAAACCCCAAATCCTGAAAATGTGCCATCCCATTCTAATAATTCTATTGAAAATGCGAACGATTATAATTAATCCAGTCGTAAAAATGTGACCCCAGGCCCCATCTAATAACACATCCCCATCCCCCTCCCCTCCCCCTCCCCCCCCCCCCTCTCAGAATTTTAGCTGGACAGTTTTTCGAGAAGCTAATCTGGCCATTTTTCGATTACACAGTTTTGGCATCATTGGGCTAGAAATGGCGACTTATAAGCTATTAAAAGTTAAGTTAATTTTTTTTCTGTGGTTTCTTACAGATTTCATGCTGACAGCCTGACTGGACCCATCAGATCTTTTGATTACGATTAATATCATAATTAGTTTTTATGACCCTTATCAGACATGGCAATTGTCGTTGAGTTTCTTTTGGGATTATGTGAACCTGGCCTCAGGTCAAAGGTGTTATTTACTATTATTAAACATCAGACGAGAGCATTCAGTCAATTGCAACAGCGTATGAAGTTGACAAGAAAACCCTGGCAATATCAGCATTAGATATTGGGTTATCATCTTGAGTTCAAAGTCTACCTAGTTACCAACCCCCCTTCATCAGTTTAGTGTTCTCAAACTTTTGCAAACTCAGAGAGAATTAGTAAGTTTGTTTCTTTACCGATTGTTTAAAATATGTATTATAAAACAATTATTGAATTCGGTTTTCACTAAGCAATTATTAGATGAGGTTGAACATTATATTATGAATTATCAAACCTCGTATCTGTGTTATATGTCTCAGCCTTCGGCTTCGACAGCTTAGACCTCGGCATCGATATTTCATGATGTAATGTTCAACCTAACCCTTAGAGTCATCCGTCTTTAAGATTGCAAAAGGTTAATAAGTTCGCCAGAAACCAGATTACAACGCACGGGAAACAAAAATTTATAGTCCCGAGTTCAGTAGGGTACCAGCAACAAGGTACACTTGAAAACAGAAACATCCTTCATGCATGAAGTCTCCTTTCTAGCTGGCAGAGCAAGCGTCAGTTTTGGCGGACGAGTGCTCAGTTATCTTAGTGAAAATTAAAACTGCCATCTTCGATTTTTACAACAGCGGAAGGCTGGGGAGAGAAAAAAATTGTACCAAGGGGGTGAGCGATGGTCAAAAAGAGGGAGACCATCTCGACCTCAGAATCTCAACTTTCTATGCCTCTATGTTTAATTCTCCATACTAAATTCTTCATACTCCTCTCGATGCAATTCCTACAATACTGACAAGGAGAATTTGTTTAACAGTCAACTACTTATTTACTAGATTATAAGATACTATAATCTCATGACCTTGCTATGGTATTTAAGGTTTCTGGAGGTGGTTTTAGGTGGTTTTAGGTAGTTTTTGGTGGTTTTAGGTGATTGCAGGTGGTTGTAGGTGGTTTTTGGTGGTTGTAGGTCATTCCATGTCTAAGTGTTTCAGAAGGAGAAATTAGATGTCAGCCAATTTCAGGGCCCTCACAACTGCTAGAGGGTAAAGATCGTTTAGGTTTGGCATCATTTGAGCTGTGATATCTATAAGTTTCCGGTTGAACATAGTTTTGTGTTAATTAATACCTAAACTAGGTATAGTACAAGGTCGGTACTCATTCGATGTTCTCCTTATTCTAATTTTCTCTCAAGTCTGAGAGCAATACGAACGTAAGTTGACACGACTGGTCTGGGTCCTAGTCTTCTTGAAGGAGTGGACCTTAGACTTTCAACACGTCTCTTCTTCCGTTTGAAAATGAAGATGAAGTTCGTATCTGGCACGTCATATCGTCCAAGATCTAAAAAAGCAAAGTAAATAATTAGTAAGAAAAAAAATAGAACACACGTTCCAGGGTTCCATGTCTAAAGTCAATTGAGAGTGCCTGAACGTCTGAGATAATTTGAAACTAACTAAATTTTTAAAAGGCTAACCAAATTGCGCGAACCCCTGAATGAATGGTCAAATTGTGTTAATTTATCCCAAATTTCACGATTATGTGATCACCAGTTAATAAGATACAAGCAAAAAAATGACTCTGTTTTCATTTTAAGTTGTTTTTATTTAGTGTCACGACTCACTGGTTCGGCCGCTTGCCTTTGCCTTGATGCCGGAGTCAGTCGGGCTTTTTCCTCAAGAACTTGCTTCAAGCTTTATAACTCTTTATCTCTATATTTTCTAGAGGCACAAGAGCCAGACATCAAACTTCATTTCGCATTATCTTATTACGGTGGTGTGTAATAACTTGAAAAAAAAAACCCGAGTCTAGCACACTTTTCATTTGTTTCCGAAATCTCATCAGTCTCTGCACCGAATTTCGAAGTTTCGTTTATAGCGAATTGTATTTTGGTCTCGAAGTCTTGCAATTCTTTGAAGTAAGCTTGAGTATCTTTGAGTTATCAAAGTGAAAGTCGAAGACTATTTAAGGTCCTCCTCAGGTCTTCTCACTTGGGAACCATCAGCAGAAATATTGGACAAGATGGCGGCCGCGCTTGCGCATTTCGTCCATAATGGCGTCCAAATAATATAAGAAACTGTATGGAAATTTGTAAAATTTCTAAAATATAACAATCAGGAGCTCATGGTCTCGTCTGCTCTCGATCGAGACATATTCAGTCCTGATTCTGCTATTCATCAAACCTCACAGGGACTCGATAAATAAAAACCACTTAGACGGTTAAGAATATATGAAGGTCATATATTTGAACTGCGGATAAAGACATGAATGAAAATGATCTTTTTGTCATTGAAAATCTGAAAAAAAAAAATTCAGGCCTGAAAAAAAAAAAATTCAGGCCTGAAAAAAAAAAAATTCAGGCCTGTACGGGATTTGAACCCATGACCTCTGCGATACCGGTGCAGTGCTCTACCAACTGAGCTAACAAGCCAACTGGAAGCTGATTACGATGGTGGTTCTAAATAAACCCGTGAAGTGATGAATAGACGGTTAAGAATATATGAAGGTCATATATTTGAACTGCGGATAAAGACATGAATGAAAGTGATCTTCGCAGTGATGTGCACTACTTAGGCAGTAGTGAAAATAAGGCCTGAAAAAAATTCAGGCCTGTACAGGATTTGACTTACTTACTTACTTCCCGAGCCAGTTCTTTTGTCATTGATCATTGACCTAGGTCGCCATTCAGTTCTTCAAAATCCGGCGTTTTTCATCCCAAACACTCGCCTATTACAGGAAAGTGCATCAATAAAGTCAACTGCTCTCGATCGAATTGACTGCTACAGAGTTCGAAGCGTCCAAATATCCTGTAAAATTGCCATTTCTTCCCATCAAAAAACTTCCCAACGCGCCAGAATATCCCTTATTTTCCATGTTGAGTAAGTGACGAGACGCCATGTTGAAAACTATGACTGAAATATTTAAATAAGAGCAACACTGATCTTCGAATCGTCAGCTATATTTTTTTATGTTCTTGGAGGGAAATAAATTAGTTCTCAGGTCCTTTTCGGAATAAAAATATGCCAGGCATTGAATGCAAATTCAGTAGTCTTAGCGCGAAAATTAAATTAAAGCAAATCAAAATTCTGACATCATGTCATCGTTCTGCCTCGAAAAATCCCAAATATTTACTTGCAGGTCTTCTTTTCTTTTTCTTTTCATTAAATAGAAGATCTGCGGTGCTCAAATTGTATAAGTCATGGTGCGAAATACTCTTCTTTACAGATCGAGCCGTGATCGCCGCCATATTGAATTCTCTTGATATTCTATTGTTCCGGGGTGTAATACGATATAAAGGGGTAAGTTTCTAAAGAAACTGTGGTGCTGCGTCGGTGGGAGAGTATAGCAGGTAATTTAGAGTTAACAACTGGGTGGAAAACGTAAATTAGCCACCGTAAAGGGTAAAACTGAAAGCTGACGTTTCGAGCGTTAGCCCTTCGTCAGAGCGATTAGAGGAATTGTGGGTTGTGTGTGGGTTTATATGCAGAAAGTGGAGCTACGCCATTGGTGGGAATATGGTGACGAGAAAAAGGAATAAATTAGTTGAATGAAAAGCGCTCGTTGATTCCGTGGGGATTAAGGGTGCCGATTTGGAATATAAATTTTTGTTCTAGTGTTTTACGGCTTTCCGAACTGCCTAGAAGTAAGGAAAGGCCGCAAACTGCCATATGCTGTTTAGAATGACTAGGAAGATTAAAGTGTCTAGCGACTGGTTTGGTTGCGTCCTTGTCATTTCTTTCCACATCGCGAAGGTGTTCTCGGAATCGGTCACCCAGTCGTCTTCCTGTTTCGCCGATGTATAACTTATTGCAATAAGTGCAAGTTATGCAGTAAATAACATTGGCGGAGGTATACGTAAAGTGATCAATGATCTTAATGGATCTTTTGGGTCTCGATATTTTCTCTATGTTATGAATGAAAGGACAAGTTTTGCATCGTGAGCGAGCGCATTTAAAAGTTCCAGATTGGTCATTGGTTGGAAATGAACTCCTGACTAAAAAGTTGCCTATGTTTTTGTCACGTTTGAATGAAATAAGTGGGGGTTGCGAAAAGATGGTGCCGGTCTCTGAATCGTCTTGGAGTAATTTGAAATTTTTAAGAATGATAGATTTAACTGCGTGGTTGTGAGGGTGAAATGTAAGAGTAAATGGAATGCGGTCAGTGTTTTCCTTCTCGGCCGTTTGTAGTGCTGCCTGTCGATCGATTTGTTGGGCACGGTGGTAGCCCGCTTGAACGACAGAAACAGGATAGCCACGTTTATCGAAAAACTGGCACATTGCCTCTGATTTTTCGGAAAAATAAGAGTCGTCACTACATAAACGACGTAGTCTGAGAAACTGTGAAAAAGGTATGGAGTTCTTGACGTGTGATGGATGTGAGGATGAATACAACAAGTAACTATGTGAATATGTAGGTTTGTAGTAAACACTAGTACATAAGCCGTTGCCTTCAATTGAAATTTTGATGTCTAGAAAAGCCAAAGAAGTGTCGGAAATTTCCCAGGTATATTTAAGAGCCGGATGAAAGGAATTGACGGCGGTTATAAATTGAGTGAGCTCCTCTTTGGTAGAGGAGGTAGCGCCGATGCAATCGTCAATGTAGCGGCCGTAGAGTTCAGGTTTTGGGCCGTGGTATTGGCTAAAAAATTGATGTTCGATAAAACCTACAAAAAGATTGGCGTAGCTGGGTCCCATTTTAGTACCCATGGCCACGCCATTAGTTTGTTTGTAGTAGTTACCACCGAATGAAAAGCAATTGAGTGTGACTACTAGTTCGGCCAGACGAAGTAGCGTTTCAGAGCTAGGTTCCTTAACAGTGCGTTGATCGAAAAAATGTTTGAGGGCCCGGAGACCTTCGTCATTGGGAATGACAGTGTAAAGAGATGTTATATCCATGGTGAAAAAAAGTTTGTTTTGGTCGAGGAAACTAAAGTCACGAAAAATTTCAAGTGCGTGTTGGCTGTCCTTAATGTAAGACGGTAAAGTTTTGACGATAGGTGCCATAATTTTGTCTAAATAGCTGGAAATAA